AGGATCCTCCCCGCGATGGTGTGTGTCTCTCTGGTCTCCCTGACTCCGCGTTCGTGCGGCTGGGCTGGGTTTTGCTCGTATGATCAGGCCACGCAGACCATCCCGGGCGTGTAGTGCAGTGAGAATTGTGGGAAGCGAGGACATGTCTCCTTGGCTCGTCCCCCCGCGAGTGACCCCAGACCTGTCACCTCCCCCCGCACACGGACCCGCCGGGGTCTCTGTCGAGTGTTCCTCCAGCCCATTTGTCGTGTGCGGGGTGAGTAACGACTGATCGTCAGCTGTGCCAGACTGCTGGATCTCCTTGTATTTTATGGATGGAAAAGGAGCGGAACGGTTTGTTTTGGTCTTGCTGATTGGACAGTCGAGTGTTCAGTCAGGCACTGAAGGGCACAGGAGTGCCGAAGAACGAGAGGAAGGACGAAGTGTTTTTAGAAGTGGCCTGATCTGTAGGGGTCACTTGAATTCACTGTGAAAACACCGATTCCCCGTGTCATCATTGGAGATGACTGCGTGGGAAGCTAACGAGTGTTCTCATTAGTGTTTTTCAGTGTTCATGGGGTAAAAATAAGCCTCAAGTTTTTGTTATTGTGCACTAGAAGGAGGCTTGGTGCTTGGAAACTTATAAGGTTTGGCAGCTAAAATACTGCTCTATGTGATACTAAAATCACAGTGAAGTTTATATTTTGGTGTATTGTCTTAATATAAATAAAGAGAATGTGTAGCAGAACTGTGCTTAAATTATGCAGCTTTTCCTCTAGTTGATCTTCGTTTTATCTTAAGACATTTCTGTTCATTGGATTACATACAGTGTCATTACATGAATCAAAATACCATAAATACTCCCTGGCTGAAGTAGGAATTGGCAGTACACGCCCTGGTACTCTGCTCAACACTTCAGGTACTTGGCAACTTTTGACCCTGACTTGCTCATAGCGTTTCTTGCTGAGCATGTTTCCTTCTACAGAAGTAAACACCTGCCATAACATCTTCTTTTAAACTTCTGGAATAATGAAAATTCATCAAAGTTACATCTATTTTAATTTTGTGGGACAAGTTTCTTAATGTTATGCAGGTATAAATTTCCAGGGGCAATTATTAAAATGTAAAGAAGGATTAGAAAGTGAACTTGATGTGTTAACGTGCACTCTGTGCAGTACAGGGGTGATGTGTCATGATCAGATTGGTACTGACTGGTCCAGAGATCGCGTGAGTTGACATTGGTTCCCTGAAGTGCTTGTGCTGCATCAGTGCAAATCAGTTACACACAGCTTTGGGCATCATGGTTACATGGACATCATGGTTACATGGACCTTGCAGAACGCCCTTGAAACAGTTTTCAGAAACTGTATCCAGTTCTAATGAAATAATTCATTTAAACAATGCTAAAAATTACATCTAAAGTGCAGTTTGCCTGGACTTCTATGAAAACATACTGCAGTGGTGGTAGTGTGGCAAGTGTTTGTGGGTTCCATGAGTTTCTCATAATTTCCTGTCATAGGCTCCTTGTGATCATATTCCTCATAGGCTTCATTTTTACAGAAGGCTGAATTGTAAAATGTTTCCTCTCAGCTTTTTTGTGCACATGCTAAAAACCCTCAGTTCTTTGACAAACGCCCTTGCCCTCGCAAATGGTGTATAATTTTAGAAAGATACAGAGTATAGTTCAAACCCTGCACCTCTGCCAGGTTTTTTATACTTAGCTGGATACCTAGTACTGCTACTGTGATTCCTGTGATGGAGTAAAGCACAACTCAGAAATACTGATAAAATCTGTGTTCAGGCTGCGTAATGCTAAGAATAACTCTCTGTCCAGTCTGGGGACACTTCCCAAATGTTGTTGGACTGGTATAGATTCGTGAGCAAAACCCTCCCAGTAGGCAAGCAGGAATATCTGTTTGAGGAGCAAGTCAGTGCTAAAGGTCCCAGCAGAGTCTGATGTGAATGCAACTGCACCAAAATAAATGGTCAGCAGAACTGCCTATTAAAAGTGTGGTTTTGCTGATAGAACTGCAGCTGCAAGCAGCAACTGAGTTGGTCAGAGGTGTTGACACCTCTCTGACTTTGCTGTGTGTTAGTAGTGTTTTTCAGGCCTCACAAGGGGCTGACCTAAGTTCTGTCAGTATAGACACAATGATAGAAATATGGTTGGGGCTTGTGGCAGTTAGAAGGGAATAGAATCTAGTGTGCTAACTTTTATGGCATTTTTTAATTCTGGAAACAGAGATCTTCAGGGCTGTTCTTGCACTGTTTGCATCATAGGTTCATGTGTATTATGGTCTGAATTGTGGGTGCTATAGACAGACACTTCAATCCTCCCAAACCTCTTGCCAAAAAACGTAGTGTTTAAAGGTCACTTGTTTTTATTCTAGTCCTGGGTTACAAATTAGTGTTTTCCAAATGACTTTCCCTGCGACTGATCCTTTCAGAATATTACTGTAACAATTATAATATTGCATTGCACGTAAGTGTAAAAATGTAGGTGGTATTGTTAGTGTTTGGACTTTTCCCTCCATAGCTGCTTTCAAAAATCTGCTGATTCATTTGGACTGTTTGCACTGTTGTCTGTGTGTTTGAGGGTGTAGATAGAGTGTTTTGTTTACAATGTGATCAGGTAATTTCAGTGGGTTTATTTTTATTTCTGTGGTGGCTTATTGGCTCCTTTAAAACAGGGTTCCCTGCTTTATGAGGCACTTCAAAAGAAATTTTTAGATTAGTTTAATTGTAACTGGCAAAACGTATTTTCTTACTTCTGGAGTAAAGTAGCCTCCAAAAATGAATACTGTTATTGGAGTTCAATACAGGAACATCTTGAATTACTCATGGACTTTTTGTACAAGACAGTAATTGTTGCCTAAAAGGCTGTGGCTGCAAAATGACTGTGGTGTGTTGTGCAGGAGATGAGAGATACCTGAAGAGTTGGCTCGGGGTGCAGCTCAGACTGAACTTGCCCAACCTAACTGTGCAGGGCACTGAAACAGATGGTCCTTCACCTGCGTGGTTCCCACCCCAACCTTTGTGTCCCATCCAATAAACATGTTTCTGCTATGTGGAGTGTCTCCATGCCTTCTGGTGGCAGCTGGCAGGTGTCACTGACATTGGTTTTACCACATCAGCTTGATTTGGTACAGTCAGGCCTAGTGTTCTTCATTCATTTTATGAGTCTAAAGAAAGATCCGAGGCTGGAGTCCTTTAGTCCATCCATGCAGGGGATTCCTGTGCCTGTGCTGAGATGTACGTGGGGCTCTGCAGCTCCACATAATTTGGTTACACTGTGAAATGTATTAATGACATCTTCAAGTCTTTACCAAGAAAAATGGTTAGAACAAGATTGTTAATTCAAATTTACAGTGTCACTTGAGTTATCTAAACCATGCTTTTATAAATGCCAAGACTGTTTAAAAGAAAGTGTGTTTAAGTTATAATGAAGTATGAGATGATTTATAAAAAACCCATTCTCAGAATGCACTGTCACCAAAGTGAAACCAACTTCATTGAGTCAGCTTTTGGTTGGTTGGTTTTGTGGAAGACATGGAAAATTGCTAACAACTAAATAGTGATGGCTCCACTTGTATTTTAAAAAGTCTCTTTAATTTCTTTTATTATGGATGTTTATAATATTCCAAGATCTTCAATGTACAAAGTTTGTTTGTATTCTAATTTAGTAGTTAGTGAGGTGCTTTCTGAAACTAGTAGCATAACATCAAGCATTAGATTCTCATGTGTTTTTCCCCCTGCTCTCAGCTGAAGTGCAGAGGTAGACCTCTAGAAGCACCTTGTTTGCTCTTTCTTGTCTGTATTCTACTAAGAGGTAATTCTACTACGAGGTCTGTATTCTAAGAGGTAACTTTTGCAAACAGTAGGCCATAAGACTGCCAGTGTATGGAGAGATCTGTCCAAGTCAGTATTGCTTATCCTGATGTCTGTAGCATATAAGCAATGATGGGACGGACAGATTCTAGAAAGTTTTGTTTCTCTCCTATTGATTGATTGAGGAAAGTTGTCAATAATTTCAGGAAGGAAGAATTACTGTTTTGTTGTGAGTTTCTTGAACCTACACCATGTCACCATGGAAATGAAATGATCCTAGGGATTTATAGCAGAGGAATTCCGGATTTTGATTACAAATTCACTGTTTAGTTTTGCATGGTGGGAAGGAATTGCACTGCTTTGCTCACTGAGACCTTTGTCCCAGAAGGCACATGGCATGTATCCTTACACAGGTACATACCTCGTTCTGAGTCAGAGCTGTGTTTTGTCCACAGCATTGAAATGGCAAAGCCTAAGTCTTGAAATACAGTTTGTATTTCAGATTTGTGGTGTGGAAGTATGAGACCTTCATGTTGTTAAATAATGACTGTCTGTCAGTAGGAAACTATTACAGTTAATGCATACTAGATTCTTGTTTTGTTTTTCTCTCTCTGTAACATTTAAAATTCTCCTCATTTGAAAGGAAGCACCGAAAGATGAAGTTATAGTTAGCTGTCAGAAGTGATTATGCTGTTATGTACAGTTATGTGTTATTTTTTCATTTGAAAACAAAAAATTGCTGCTTTTAGAAATTTTTTTCCTCTGCTTGTTGCTGAGAAAATGAAAAGTCATAGAATGGTTTGGGTTGGAAGGCACCAACCCCCTTGTCATAGACAGGGACACTTTCCACTACAAGTTGCTCAGCTACAACTGTGTATAATATGCATCTTAAACATCATAATAGAGACAAACTGAGCTTGTTTGGATTTCAGGTGACCTCTAGAGCCTCCTGTCAAGTCCTGGTTCCCTGTGTGTGGCTTTACAGATACCATGATAGAAGTGGTTCCAGATACTCCCTATAGCAAAATTCCAGCTAAAATGCTGAGATGTTTTCTAGCAAGCAGTGTGATGTTTATTCCGGTGGAGTCAGGCTTTCCCTGGCCAAATGCCTCCTCCTGGGCATAGTTCAAAATACCTCCTTCTGGAAGATGGTCTTCTCGACATCTAAACACATCTCTGGTTATTTACATCATGATTAAGCAGAGTCACAAACCGTTTTAAAGCAAAATATTTCAGGCTGCTGAGCATGATTTACTCAGGCATGTTCAGTGGAATTGAAATTGTTGAAGTCCAGTTCAAGACATTGTAAGTCTTTTAAAATGCACATTTTCTCTTACTATGTAGAGAAAAAAAATGGGAGTTCATCTTGTCTAAAATAATGTCTGGAAATAAAACATTGTTGGGAAAGAGGGGGCTGGCTCCCTGTGTCCACATTTGATCCCTACAAATAAATGCTAGAAAACCTTCCTTTTACTTGTCGGACTTGTTAAATACTTGTCTTGAAAGGAATTTTCTATCAATTGCATAGGTCACTTTATTTGCCTTGGGATTTGTTACTGATTTTTATCAAACCAAGCTAGATGACTTTTTGGCTCAAGCTAAATTCAGCTGTAGAGTCATGTCCCTCATTTTAAGGAAAGGAAAAAAGCTGCAAGTCCCTGGGTTTTGTAGATGAAAACCATACAAGTTTTTAAAATTGTCCCCCAAAATGGTGTTAGTTTTTCCAAGAAAATGTAATGAAAAGTCATTCCTTGTACTTTTCATGATCTGTTGTGGTGGCATTTTCAATAACTAAAATAAACACTGGTTGTTTATAAATAAACCTCAAACATTTATTCATAATATTTTACTTCAGTATGTTACAAACCTCAAACATTTATTCATAATATTTATTTTTTACTTCAGTATGTTATTGTTAATTTTTAACAAAGGTGTGCTCAGTGTCTAGCCAGTACCCGAAAATAATTACTCAGTTTCATCTTTATATTGGGCATATTTAGGTTTTACATTTGCATGAAGCTAAGATAGCTGTCCAGGAGTGTTCAATTTTGGATTTTAAAAGAGTCAATAAATACTAGAACTGTTTGAAAAGATTTAATTATGTATCCATTTTGTTCTTCTGGGCCTGGATTTTGAGCCAAGAGGGCTGAAATTTCATTAAATGCAAAGTGTTAAATGCAGGGTGAAAATAATAATTGGTGTATTTGTGTACCTTATTCAGTCTTTGCCTAGGATATGTGAAAGCTGTGAGTTCTGTAAACATACTTTTGCAACCAAAGAGTTTGTTTCAGCAAAATGAGGACAAGCAAGCAGTTTTAATTTATTATTTTTTTTCATCATGGATTTAATTGGTGTACTTGAAGCCCTGACATTTACATGGTTACCCTGTCGAATGTGGCTGTTCTCATCAACTCTGTTACAGCAGTGGTGCAGCTTTGAGCTTTGCTGTGATGAATTGCACCATACAGAGCAGTTTTACTCAATGTACAAATTATCATTTCAGATGTTACTTAACACTTCTTTGATGGTAGTCACAAGTTTTCCTTTCTGTATACTGTCCTCTCATCTGCTTCTGTGTTTTCACCTCTCCCCATTGTGTCTTGCACTTTGAGTCATCATCTGTAATGTCACATTGTGTTTTGCTGTCACATACCCTTTCTCTGCTTTCTTGTTTCTTTGTATCATGCCTCATGTCTGGTGTAGAAAGTTGCTCAAATTGGGCGTTTCATGGTCGTGCAGCTTGTGTGCTGGAGCTTGAGGCTGATTGTCTCTATAACTGCCTTCTGTTGGAGGAAGCAGCAGGCAGGAAAGGGACTGCTAGGAATGTGCCAAGTGTTGCATGAATCTCATGGACAGTGTATTCCCTGTTCTGCACTTCGGAGAGCAAGCTGCTGAAGGAAGAGGACTATGTCATAGAAAGCGTCGGGACTGTGATTTAGTAAATGGCTTTTCACTCATTTTGAGTTAGAGTTGAAGCAATCAAGACAAGCTCATGTTTTGTTCCCTCTAAACTGTCTGCCTGCCTGCCTTGATAGGTAGACTTGTTACCTGACATCTGCCTGTCTGGCAGGTGAAGAAAGAAGACAGCATGACCATCCCAGGAGCGAGGCGAGGAAGGTGGGGAGGAGGGGTGAGCTGGCTGTGATCTTTGGGAGTTATTCTGGAGTGGCTCTGGCAGCAGAAGGGGCAGTGGAGCAGACGCTGTCGTTGGCAGCAGTCAGGTGACAGTGAACGGGAGCTGTCAGATACACATCACTCACCCTAACGCTGTTGTCATTCACAACCAGCCACAGAGCAACCGCTGCCCAGTTTGGCTCTTTTTTCCCTGTGCTGGTTGTTAAGGGGCAATTGAGAGAGGATTTCAGAGATGACTGTGCAATTAGCAGTCTTGTAGAAATAATTTTGTTAGAATGGCCTTTGTATGTGAAGAAGAATGTTCAGTAGCTCTTTTCATCTCTTGTCCACAGCAGGTTTATTTTCTATTGCATATGTGCTGTTGCTTTTTAATTTCTGAAGAGACTGTATTCCAGTTTGATTTAATTACTCCGAAGGAGATACATTTTTCTTGCATTTAAATAAATTCTGTAGTCATAATTATGATCTGTGTTCATCTTGTGAGCAAGAACAACAGTATTATTTGACCTATAATAATTCTTTAGAGGTAGGATGTACTTAAATATTGTCTTAGGACAGTTCCTCTATTGTATTTAAGTTATACTTTGTCAAGTTGGTGTTTATCTCTACGAGTACGCAAAGCAAGTATGTGACTGACTAAAAACTTTCAAGTTTTGTTAGCTTTTTGAGAGTGGATTGGTTTAAAGAGTGCTTGCTCCTAAGTGACCCAATTCCTGCTCAGTGCAAAGCTGGTGATACACCAAGTGAGGAGACATTGTCCTATTACATCTCCCTCTGTCTTCAAATGCTTTAAAATTATTTTCTGATCAGCCCTCTGGCCACTTAATTTTCCTTTATGAATCACTTTCTTTTACTGTGTCCGTTTGTTTTTTTTTTGTGTACTGTTCTTCTTTATGAATCACTTTCTTTTACTGTGTTCGTTTGGGGTTTTTTTTGTGTACTGTTCTCCACTCACACGTAACAGTTTGTCTTCCCTTTTCTGTATGTTGTTCTGCTTTTTCTTTCGATTCTCTTTGAAGGACAAATTAAGCAACATTGCTTTGAAGCAGAATTACTCTTTTACATGACACTGCCTGCAGAATGATCACTTTTAAATAGGCAGATTTTAATCACTTTTAAGCCATTTGTTGGTTATTTCTTAATTTAGTATATTATTTTGTCTTTTTTGTGTGTGTGTGTGTGAGGTCAGACTCTCTTGCTTCATTTTGTCAAGCAGACCTAGTGCCTTTCCTACTGCTTGAGTGGAGATAAATCATCTTATGTGTGGATTTCATTATGATTTGTTTATCCTGTGTTTAACACATGGAAAAAACCTGTCTTTAGAGGGCAATAGCTGTAGTTAGTGGTGTCTTTGGCCATAAATACTGTCTTTAGAGGAAGAGATGGTTAACCTTCTTGTGGGATTTTTTTTCTTTGTGCTTGCTCCACTAAATGATCTGAAATACAAACTCAACTTCAAATTCCTTTTCTACATCTCTGTTTTTCTTTTTCACTCTCTCTTGGTGGTCTGTGTTAGAATACATTCTATCCTAAAGAAACCAAGAGAATTGTGGCTTAGCTTCCCCTGCACCATGAAAAAAGAAGCACAGAAGAGTTTTGCCCTCAGTTTCTGTATCTGCTGATAGACATTGAAAATATTCCAGCACAGTTGTTTCACTTGTGGTTAAATATTTTGTAAACATTTGTTTGTCAACTTCAAATTGATTTTTGTGTATTCAAATACGGTACATTTTCAGCTTGAGTGTGTTCTATTTCTTAACTACTTTAGGATAATAAGGGTATAGGGAGAAAAAGGAAGTCATTATATGTGTCATAGTGGCAAAAAAGGAAGAAAACACTTTCCTTAAATCTATGGTGTGTTTTAGACTGGATTTGGGAAGGTGCCAGGGTACTTTCAGCTCCTGCTGTCTGTACTGGGAGCCGAATACTGTGCATCAAAATTGTATTTTGTCATTTCCTTGGAAATCACACAGAACCAGCCAGTAAGAGATCCTTGCAAATAGAGCAAATAAATAATATGTTGTAATCTATGTGTACTGATTTGAGATTGTGATTTAAAAGCTAATGCACAGGTTTTCTGTTATAATGGTATTGTTCTTTGGGTCTTCATGAATACTTTATATTCTTTTCTTTTTCTCTATTGATGAGATCACTGTCCTGAGAGTTTCAGTTTGTAGCCTTAATTTGGGTGAAGAGTTCAAAATTTTAAAAGAAAAATTCCTGCCATTTATTCTATGTGTCTGTCTTGACACATTTTCTGGATAGGTTTGGAGGAAAAGGGTAAGTAAATAAAAGAGCTTCATGCTTTTTTCCAAGTTAGACAGAAGCATGGGGCTTTGAATCAGGATGTGGTTGCTTTGAACATGCCACAGCTTGCTGTATGCACCTGGGCCAGTGATTTATGTACGCCCCAGGCAAGGAAAACACTCAGACATTGGCTACTGTCAGGTGGGATTGGGACCTTACTATGCTTCAGCTCCACCGTTTGTAAATGGGCGATGTTTCCTCGGTTGTTGATACGCTGAGAGCACAAATCTGGACAGGGATCATTACAGTTTGCTGTTGTTTGCCTGTCCCTTTCCATAGGGCCATGGCTTCCCTCCATCACTGTTCTGTTGAGAGGCTGTGTCTCGTGTCTTCGTAAGCACGAGAAATGATTAACGCCTACTTTTCTCCAATGTTTTGTGTTACGTATTATGAACAATCTCTGAAGTGAAGTCTGCATTAAGTATCATGAGTGTAGTTGAATTGTGTTTGAATGAAAATGCAATAGTGTCTTTATTTGTGTCTTACAGGAAGAAAAGGCTTCTCTCCTGCATCGTACTCAGGAAGAAAGGAGAAAACGAGAGGTAAAGTAGATCGTAAGCGTTTGCATGCCCACTGGATTTTTCTTTGGTGCAGTAACGTTACAGGGCAAAGTACTTCTGCTGCAGTTGTGCTCAGTTCTGGAATGTTCTCTTTCAGTTTGCAAGTCTTTTATGGTCTTCCAGTATGCTCCAACTGGCCAAACAGTTTGACTGCTTTTCAGGTGTTTCTCAGGAGTGATTTTCATCTCAAAAGATGGGACTTAAGCATGCACTGGGTACAAAGTGTTTGTTGGATCTAGTGTTTGTTGAGAAAGGAGAGGTATTTGGCTAGTAAATTGCAGTTTCTACCTCATTGTTAATCTGTTACTATGGATTGGTTTTAGCAAACTGTCTTCTGCTCCTGGTTCTGCTATGGTATCTTGGATGACCTTCAGTAATTCGTTTCCTCAGTGTATGCCTCAGTTCTGTGAAGGTAAAATCAGAACAATGATACTTGAATGTATCCTAAAGTGCTTTGAAATTACCTGATAATTGAGGAGCAGTGAGAAATTGATGTGTGAAGCCTTAGGCAGCCTTAATACTGGTCTATCATGGAAGCTTACTGCTATGGATAATTCAGTCTGGAATGATGCAAAGGAGGAACAGGCATTGAAAGGAAAAACAAAATTTGGTAGCATGAAATTCAAGTGAATATGTTAATTTTGTCATTCCCCTCACCCCAATATATGAGTTGAAAAAACTGTGTTAAAAATTACTTAAAAAGTATAACTATAGGTTTCATGCTTATCAAAAAATTTGGCCTTTAAAGGTGTGTTTGACCCTTGCTAGATTAAGCACAAGTTCTGCAGTGGCTCCTCAGTTACTGCTTTTTGTCTTTCCAGCATGTGTATAATTATGGACCAAATGTTAATATGAAATTACTATTATTTCACCAGTTAGTTCAGAATTCTCTGTTATTAACCAAATTTATGTTCAATAAATCTTTACCAACATATGCAAAAATTCTTTGTGGTTCGTAAACTTCTTGCCATACACTGAAGTAACTCATTCAGTTGCTTAATTCTGTCTTCTGCAAGGCAGAGTGATATACCTGTATATACATACACATATGCACACAATGATTTTCTGTGGTATGTAGCCCATTCTCTCAAAATGAATGACTCCTCTGAGAGTAAAATCAGTCATGGCTTTTAAAAAACTGCCTGTAGCAGAATCTTAGCAGTGACCTTAGACTTAAAACCTTTGCAATTATAGGTCACCAATTGAGAATTATGTATTCTGAGATAAAGCCCATACCTAGAGAAGCACACATATCTGTGTTTTAGTTGAGCCTTACATTATGGTCATGAAGAGACACTGCCTCTCTGTAATTGAAACTCTCTCCTGCTTGAACTTTTGCTGTAGATACTTTGGAGAGGAAAATAGCCTTTAGCCTATCAACATTTTGATTTCGGTCCGTGCTTTAGAGGTAATGAGAGTCTGCAAGTAAATGCTTATTCAGAGAAGCTGCTTTAGGGACCAAAGTTTCCAGGAAAAATAAAGTAGGCCTTGGATTGCAACTTTGTCTGATGTTTCTCTGGTCAGCTTAGGTAATGTTCTTAAGTTGGATATGTCTTTATCGGACAATGAATTAGAAATCAAGGCTTTGAACTTTACTGAATGTATTTTAGTGATATTTACAAAAACATTTTGGTGTTTTTATTTTGCTTGGTAGCCCTCAGAATTATAGGCTTATTCTAATTTAAGGATTGATTAGGTTAAAATTTCTCTCCCTACAGCTTCTTGATCCTTATACTTTGCCTGCCTCAACCACTGCTTTGTAGCTCTAGGTTCATGAGCAGCTTTTTACTTCCCTCTTTTATCGCCTGAGAAACTATATGGACACTGTTAGAAACATAATTAGAGTAGCCACTTCCTGCACATATTTATTGTGGTGGGATATGCTGAAGGTGTTGTCAGGGAACTCATGAGTGCTCTTTCCATTGCATCTCGAGCCAACTGGCTTTCAGTTCCTCAGAGTGTGAGCCATTGTGAGGGAATGGTTTTAACTGCTCTTTCCAGCTACTGACGAGGACTTCATGAAAGGACTCACTTGGTATGTCTGGTTCAAAGAAGAGAGTAAGAATTGTTACTAGTTTCCATATTGTGCCTCCTGGGCTTAAAGCTTTAAGCCTCATTTTCCTTTTGACAGAGGTACGGTCTCCAAATAACTGATGGTTTGGTTTTGTTTTCCCCACATCTAACTGTGCCAGTGTTGTAATATTTGACATTATTTGAATGAAAACAAAGAGCTGAATCTTCAGCGTTCGCTGATTTGTGCAGAGAGAGGAATGCTGCAGTAGAATTTGATGAATCCTTCAGCATTCTCCAACATAGTATTCAGACTTTACCTAATAAAATGCATTAATAATAAAGTGATAGTAATAAAGTGTTTATTTAGATTTTTGTAGTATTACATACTGAGTATTAATTCTTTTGCAGTCTCTTAATGGTAAATTTGGACTTAAAAGCATCAAAAGCATTCTCGTTGATTTATGCATATTGGATACAAACATTCAAATACTTTATTTTACTAACGAGTGCTGCTTAGTTTTCATGTAAAAAAATCCTTTTGGCTGCAAATATATTTGATAAAATGGTAGAAATTAGAATCAGTTCCACACTGTTGATTTCATTTACTTGCTTCGTTTTACAGGAAGAAAGGCGGAGGCTGAAAAATGCAATAATAATCCAGTCATTTGTAAGAGGGTACAGAGACAGAAAACATCAAGTAAGTACTTATATATGTGTTTAAAAAGCTGTTAAACAGTTTTGCTGAAAGTGAAACTTTCTGGTAATAAATAATTTCTTTTGAATATAAATAATTCCGTTGAAAAATCTCTTTGCTTGTATATTCCACAAGGTGTAAGTTCTTTTTTTCCCTCTTGGCATTTCCATTTGAAACTCCATATTTTAGTAGACTGATGTATATTCTGCAAAGCATGTATGTAACTGGACCTCAGTGGGATCATGCAATATTTTTTTAGCTGATAAAGCAGATGAAAACCATTGGGTATTAAGAGCTTTCCCACACCAGTGGAGCTTTTTATTTTTTCTAATATGACTAAGGTGGTAGTTCGTGGGTATTAAGAGCTTTCCCACACCAGTAGAGCTTTTTATTTTTTCCAATATGACTAAGATGGTAGTTCAAGTCAGAAAGTTGTTCGTTCTAAGCTGCTGTTGGGTAGATTCTTCTAAGAAAAGGTTGTATCTAGTTCAGAAAGTTGTTCGTTCTAAGCTGCTGTTCTTCTTCTAAGAAAAGGTTGTGTCTAGTTAAATTTGCTAATTAGAGTGAACTAGATTAAAATGTTTGATGTGATGTTCTTTACGTGAAAAGTAACAAATTTGTTACATGTGTACTTCCAGTTACGGAATGGAGTTGTGGCTTAAGCTATGAAACTGTATCTACTTTGATCTCTTAACAAAAGTGTTGTATCTGTTTTACTGCCTCTTTGAATGGAAAGCTGAATTAAAGTTTTAAAACTTTTGCATCTCTGTTTTAAACCATTATTGATGTATTTATGCATGTTTTATTTTAAAGTACTCTATCCAAAGAAGTGAATTTGATCGCTGTGCTAATTTGGCCCAATCTGGAGGAACATTTTCCACTGCTAATGGAGCTAATTTGACTCTTTTAGTTCGTCAGTTACTCTTTTTCTATAGACAGAATGAGGATTCTAAGCGTTTGGTGAGTACTGCTACATATTTGATCCACAGTACTTGCATTTCATGCACTTTTCATGTAGCCTTTCACTTAGATTTTAAAGGGATTCAAAAAAGGCTTTGACCACTTGAGTAAATTCTTGTAAGAATCCTGGCTTTTGCTGGCCTGCACTCTGCTGGCTGTCATTAGTCACAGTAACTTAAATTAGATTTTACAAGTTTCTGTGTGCTCACACCCATACAAAATCTGTGAAATGAAGCCTCGAAAAATCCTGTGTGCGTTATTCACAGTAATTTTTAAAGAATAACACACTTCTGTTAGAATTTTAATTTTTAAACAGTGTTTTCCACTTAGCTCCCTGGTCATTCCTAAGCTGTTTGGGAGATATTTTTTCCTCACTGTTCAATGGTGCTGTCATATCAATTGCAAAGTCACTGCCAGCCTCCCAAATGTACGAGGAAGTGTGATCCATAGTGGCTATTAATAATGGGCATTAAAGAATTACAGCTGTTTAAAACCAAGAAATTAACGGATAAATTTGTTGCAAGTGTAAAATTATTTGTAAGTGTAATTCAGTCTTAACTTGAAAGTTTAGTACTAGCAGTTGTGTAGATTATGTTGTGTGACAGGTTTTTTATTTGTAGGCAAACATGATTCAGTCTTAGTTTGTGTTTAAGTCCTCCAAAGATACCCAAAACAGGGGTAAAATGTTACTGTTTGTGTTGCAATAAATAGTATGACTTGTTATAAACTGTAAACTTGTGCATATCTTGTTGCAGGTATGGATGTGTCAGAACTTAATTAAACAGAGTTCTCAGTTTGTTAAGCAATTGGATGGTCCAGACAGACTTACTTGCTTATTCCAAATAAAAAGGCTGTTGGGGCTGTGTTGCAGGTAAATTTTTTTTTTTTCTGTGTGCTGCTGTTGAAAGGTTGTTCAGAAATTATCTTGGGCATTTGTTTGTCTGTTTTTGCAGCAGATGAAGTATTAAATCTAAATTTATTTTTTGGAGAGGACTGTTTATGTACAGTATGTGTAGAGCATGGTGTAGGATACTTGTTCTTATGTAGAGCTATGGAGTGTTCTTAAGCTCCACTGGTTTTCAAGTTCAGCCTGTGCTTAAGGGATGCTCTCCTAGAGATAGACTTATGTATGTTCTTAGCTGTTTCCATATAGCAATATCATTAGCAATATTTGTGGAAAACAGCTTTTCTTGGGAACTGATAGTGTTAGGAGTTATTATATGACTATATTAATCTATATACCCATATAGACTAATGATCCAAGGATATGCTTTGGATATATTTTGTTTCAAAACTAATTCTATTTAAGATGCCTTTCCTTACACTTAATTTTGAGTTTAAAGTATATTAAGCAGTTATATTAGTGGTTTCAGCATTAAGTTCCTTATGTGTAGTGGGAGAATCACAGGAAGGCAAATTTATTAAGGTGACTTGAACATCTGACAGCTAAAACCTAAGTTTGGAAAACAAAATATTTGATCTTATCAATAATAGGGGACTAGTTATACTTCCAGAGCTTGAAAATATTTAATTTTTTTTAGAAAATTGTTTTGTTCAGGTCACTGAACCTTGTGTTCTTAATAAGTGTGTATGCTGTATGTGTGATAAACAGTGACACCAGATCCTAAAGAAGTCCTGAGTGGCTTGCTTCAAAGTATACATAGAGTGGGACACAGCTGTGCTGTCACTGCACTGAATTGTACATTTTCACACAGTTGAAGTTGTGGTTTTGTAAATGCAGCTCTTAAGGTGGATGGGGCACAAAGCACTTTGTTAGGGCAGCTATGCCTATACACATCTTGCTCTAAAAATATCCTTTGAATTCTAAACAAGTTCTTAACCTTCATCATTTCTGTGCTTACTGGTACTTGTTAAAAGGATAGGAATTGTTGTATTTTTGATATTTCAGTCTGTAAGCAAAGACATAGAGTGTTAGTTATGCATATGATGTTCCCTAGCTTTTGTTCCAGCCCATATTGCTCTGGGGCTTTTATGGCTTCATTTTTAATCTAGTTAGTAATATATGTTGGAAAAACATGTATTACTCTTTGCTTCCCTTCCAGTTCATGCAATAGACCTCCAAATGTTCTAATCATTGAGAGTTAGAATTTAGTAGGATTTAATGGCAGAGTGCCATCTGCATAGAAACCCTAAAATTGGGAATTATTATGATAAAGATGCCAACAAAAAGATGTAGCTAAACTACTGAGAACACTTAACACCTGAGTAGCAAGAAGTTACTTTAAGGTGAATGGGAAAGGTTTTTTTGTAATTTTAGTTTTCAATCTGTGTACATGTGCCTGTGGTGACATAAGAGATGTATCTAATAATAGATGCATTAAATACTGTTAATTTAATTTCATTTCTAGGCTGTTGCAGAACTGCAATGATGACAGTCTGAATGTTGCACTTCCTATGAGAATGCTTGAGGTATTTTCATCCGAGAATACGTATTTGCCTGTTTTACACGATGTCAGCTATGTGACATCATTAATTGAACAAATTTTGCACTACATGGTTCAAAAAGGTAAGTAGCTAGGAGCTGGAAGTTCCAGGAAATACTCAAAACTGGAGCAGAGTGTGATACCTGAAGACCATGTGGCTTAGTCATATTTTTGCTTTTACCACAGACACGATGACTAAAGTGCTGCATACACTAACCTATATATTAGGTGAATACTGTGCTTGTCATGATATCCCTGCTTGAGGAATTACTGTCTGATTCCTATGGAAATTCCATTTATAAATTGAATATTCTGCCAAGTTACTTAAACAGACTTTTACCACAGATAGGTGGATACTACCTGACAGAAGTTTTATTCCAGCAGCTGTTTACAGACACAGGCACAGAAACGTGCACACATGGACACATGCACACACTGTGGCAGATTTAAGCTTTAGTTGTGTAAAAGTTGGTCATTGTGTTGCAGAACTGTTCTCTATAAATGTTAACATTCGTTGTCATCCTAAATTGGTGTTACATTTTCATCCTGCTGATACTAGAGACACCTTAGCAAATAGATGGTGACCTGGGCTCTTATTTTGCTTGTACTGTCATCAGCAAAACTGTCAGCTAAACTGAAATCACTTCCACCTGTGCAAACATACTGAAAGTTAATGAACTGTGTACTTATCACCAAAATTGTCTCAAAGAAACTTTAATTATTCTGGGAATGCCCCACCAAAAATTGGGCTTTCCTATATGATAAATTGAGTTTGCAAGACTTGTGGATGGGGAGAAAAGACAAAACTATTCTGAAATAAACATCTTGAGTTCAGCTTCATCGGTGTACAGTGCAGAAAGAGCACTCCAATCTGTTAGTTAATTGTTGGAATAGTTCTGTATAAGTTCTAAAATACATTCAGTGGACTAGACTATCTTATTGCTAAGGATTTGGCTTTAACTACTGTATGTTGAAATTACTATGAGGAAAAAAATTGCTCATATTATAGCACATACCTTTACTTGCAGTGGCATAGCAAAAGCTACAAAAGTAGATGTGTTTGTCTCATTGCTTGTTATGTAATAAATATTTCTTCCGAAATGCATATAATTGTTCTTTTAGTGTGATATTCAGTCCTCACAACTGATACATGAAAGTTTAGCAAGATCATAGAATCATTTTTTTTAACCTAAAATTTAGCTTTCTGATCACTTACAATGAAAATAAAAACAAGCAGTTTTGTGCAACCACAAATGTTCTGTCTCCTAATAATTCATGATGCTTAATTTGTACAGAGTCTGTAATCAGCTTTTAATAGTACATGTTTTTGCATAGAATTTGCCTGTGTTCTGTCAACATTGCTGTTATTGCTTTATGAGCACCTCCTCTTGTTACATTGTGTGCCGAGTTAGGTGGTCCCTGACAAAGGTGATGTGACACTGTTTATGCATTTACAGTGTTTCCTGTAGTTGTGGAACTTGTGTCTCAGTTTAGGAGTTCATTGAACAAGAGGAAGTTGCTTTAAGAATAAAATGATGTGATTCCATTTGTACTTCAGTGAGACGGAACTGAATTGCCCTCTGCATGTCTTTATGGTTTGGGTGGTAATGCATTTTATTACTGTCTGAGAGAGCCCTGGTTTGGAAACAGGGATTGTATTCTTCAGCCTGCCAGGGCATGGTGGTCATAGAATTGAGACATTTTGCCAGCAGGACTCTTACCTGTATCATGCAGTCATGTTTTGGTGTAGAGGGGAAAATTTGTTGTTTCCAGAAGAGTGGAAGGACAACTGTCAAACATATGACTAGAGTCACTTAAAGGTGAAGAGAGCATCTTTTTCATAGGGAGTTATTAAAAAAACCCCAAATTATTCACTTCATCAGCAGGAGCTGATTGGTCTTTGAAAATCAAACTATCCACTTATGATTTTATAATGTGATGTTTCCAAAGAGGTTGCTGATACAGCTTGTTAGGTGTGTGAATGTGACTTGGACTATTGTAAAATGTCTTCCTAACTCAGGCTTCATGAAATGAATTGTATCATTCAAGTTAAGGTTAAATAGACAGTTTGTTTTGTATGGAAAAGAAGAAAAATAATGCCGTATTCAAAAATTGATTTTTCTTACTTGCAGGCTACTACAAGTCTCTTTATTTGTTAATTAACAATAAGCTTCCTTCGAGTATTGAGTATTCTGATGTTTCTCGTGTCCCTATTGCAAAAATACTTCTGGAGAATGTTCTGAAGCCATTGCACTTTACATATAGCTCCTGTCCAGAAGGTGCAAGGTAAATAAAGATACTATTAGATACTCATGCACTCATTTGCTATAGCCAGAGATGCAGTTTGATGGTGCCATTCTTTCAGTGCAGTTTGTTGATTTCATTGCAGTAGTAATGATTCTTTGGTGATGCAGTATGTGAACGAAACAATGTCATTTCGGGGGTGTTTAAGAAAAAGGCAGTAACGTGCTGAATGCTGCAATAAACAGCACAGACAATAGCAGGTATCATAATACATAGGAACATAGGTGTGGAGAATCTTACATGAGGGCTGATGAAAAGAATTTTAGAGTTAAAAGGAACTGTGACAGATGAGGTTTATGGCAAGAAATAACAGTTTACAAGCAGGAGTCATCAGGTAAGTAGGCAGAGGGAACAGAAATTACACTGGTTGTATCACCTGCAGTAGTGTTTTGTGTTAAAGTAGGATTTTGTGTAAAAAAGACTAATTTTTAGATGGATTTTTTTGATATTATAAACAATGTATTTAACTTCAGAATAGTTTTCTGCAAGTTCATGCAAAGTTTAAAGGGTAAAATTACATGTAAGATCATCAGGAAAAGGATTTATTATAAGAAGTTAATTTGGTGTACTAGGACAGGATTATTGAAGTGTACCTTGCAGTCTTCTCCATGGATGTGTTCAAACTTGCAAATTGATCTATTACTTTCTGGGTTTCATTGTGAGAAATTTTGCCTATATTTTCTGTAACAATAATTTTTCTTCATTTCAGGCAGCAGATTTTTGCAGCCTTCACAGAGGAGTTTCTGGCAGCACCTTTTACAGATCAGATATTCCATTTCATCATTCCAGCGCTTGCTGATGTGCAGACTGTTTTCCCTTATGAACTCTTTCTGAATGCACTATTACTAACAGAAGGTGGATGTTCAAGAAGTAGTGATCAAGCCCCATGGCTTTTCTACTTTGTGTTAACAGTTGGAGAAACATATTTGGGTGAGGAAGCTGAATGGCCAATTTGTTCTTTTTTTCCTATTGGAGTTAATATGTATTTTCATAGCCTGGTTCATTGCCAAGTGAAAGGACAGCTTGTGGATAAAAGTGTTGGTGATCTGTTTTATTGCCTATTCTTACCCTTTACCAGTACAAAATGCACTAATTTGATAAGATTTGGCATAACTTGTTTTGGTGAGGTTTTTTTCTGATAAAACATGCTTTATAGGACATTGTGATCTGGCTGATGATCTTTTGTTCCCATGTGTGTGCTCTAGGATCCCTTTCAGAGGAAGGACTTCTTGTGTATTTGAGGGTACTACAAACTTTTCTGTCTCAACTGCCTGTGTCTGCTGCTGGTGCAAACTGTCAAGATGCAAACAGTGATTCTGAAGATGAGGATGAAGAGATCAGTAAAATGACAACCACACCGGTGAGCAGTACAGAATTTCTGTGAATGAGTTTGTATTACAGCAGCAGCAAAGATAGACAAAAAGTAATCACTCTAAGTTCAGTATTTTTCTAGCTATGTGTAGAAGGGAGTGTGTTTACTTTTTAAAAATAGATGACTGTTCACTGTAAGCAAATGGAACTGGTTGCTTACATTATAAACAAACCCCTTACTATAATAAGAGACCTTAAACTACAGGTAATGTATCTGCAAAAGGGCAGAGCTTTCATTTAGGGCAAAAAAAAAGGTTTAAACTTAACATCTTTAATTTTAGGCTGTACAAAGACTTTATTATTTTCTGTATTCTTTAAGTCCATGATGATGCTAAGATACCATGAAACATCCCAATCTGATATTCCAACTTAGTATTTTCATTTTTCTTTCTTATGGAAATACTACAAGTTCAACTATAGTCTTTACCCAGTAGAATTAGCTCTGTAGATACCCACCAACTCAAAAGCCCTCCAAGGGGAAATACCTGCTCTGTATAATAATATATGGAGACTGTGTTATAAATTGAACTTTTTCACTATAGTTTAAACTTCCTCCAGTGGAATAAATCTGTGCTAACTTTTACCTGCTGATACTTGTATCAAGGCTTTGAACAACCAGAGCTGGACAGATGTAAATTCAACAGCTCCTCACTGACCTTTATGTAATCTTTCAGAAGACACTGCCATTCAGAGGACTTAGGCAGGGTGCAGGCTTTCCTTGTAGAATGGGTGAAATTTCACCATATTTGAGGTTCATTACAAAAAGTACATCTCTGATTACGTTGCCTCCCAACGCCAAGCTGGGAATTCTGGATTTCTGTCTCTCCCAGGCTTCTTGACATTTTCTTGGCTATGTGTTGAAAGCCAAAAGCACACCAGCTCTTCTAAGAGATACTGTTCCTGTAATGCCTACTTACATTTCATGTAAGGTGATGTACATTTCTGAAAGACACAGCATTTTGGAGACATCAGTATGGAGGGTAACCTCTCATGCAGAGCCATACTGCTGGGGAATGGCTGTAGCCTTTTACTTGTGCACTTTTAGTTGTAGTGTGTTACCCCACCACAAAATCTTTACTGGGATAGCATAAATAAAATACTTTCTTTGCCAGACACCCACACTGTATGCAGTGTAAATATTGGCAAATTCTACTTGTGGCTTAGAGATTGGTGATGTTTAAGAGGTGATTAGGTAAAAACAAAGCATATATTTCTGTTCACAGATTTGTAAATTAGGAAAAAATCTGCTCTGAGGAGGCTTTAAATACGTATTGCAATATGGTTTTTGTGTGTGGCTCCTGTGGATTTTTTATGTATTCCTTATTTTCATGCACATCTGTCTTACAAAAAAAAAAAAAAGTGGATGGGGAACCTTTCTTTCTTAAAAGTTCATAATGGGTTAACTTGTGTCCTTCAATGAGCCAAACTGCTTTACTCAGCTGGGGGCAACATAAAGGTAGGAAATAAGGAAAAGAGAATGTTGAGCTTGATTCAGTTCTGTGCATTCCTCATAGTACATTTCTGGTACTACCCAGATATGTATTATCCTCCCTGAAGGGGTTGTTTGTTAACCCATGGGCTGTGAATGTGAATATATTGTTTGTAAAGGAGTTTACAGTCATCCATTTCTGGGATTTATGTCCAATGCTGACTAATTTTGCCTTGTTGCATCCAAGTGTTGCAGAACATGATAACATTAAATGAATGTAATTTGTACCACAACCCAACACTTGCCTGCCTGGGTATTTTAGTTGGCTCTAGGTCTGATACTTTTAAGAATGAGATATACATATATGCTTCCATTTTATTTATTCTACAGGAAAACTTTGTTCTAGTAAAATTCTGTTGTATTATTTTTTTATTGAAAAGGGGATACTGAATCATTAAAAAGACTTAAAAGCAAATTTTTCTTTGATGTGTTTGTAGGGTGATGGGCGAATATCAGTTCAGTACATAACTGAGGAGTGTCTAAAGAAACTGGATACAAAGCAGCAGACAAACACTCTGCTGAATATGGTTTGGAGAGATTCAGCTAGTGAAGAGGTCTTCACTCTGATGGCATCCATCTGCCACACACTAATGGTACAACACCGAATGATGGTGCCAAAAGTCAGGCAAGTATGAACAATACTGATCTTGAACTGTAGTACATCTGAAATTGGTTTTATTGAATAGACTTGTGTGGCTTTTTCCTGTGTTTTCTTTTTTGATCAGCTGCAATAAATTAGAATTCCAGAATGTAAATAATTCCAGGCAAACCAAAGAGTAGAGTCTTTGTTTCTTATTTTTCTTGCTGTCTCAAGATTCTTGGAAGGATTTTTTCTGTTCTGTTGCTCAGAGGCAATGTTGAGTGTCATTCAGTAGAAATTGGTCTAGCTTGTTTTTAAAACTCTCAGTGCTATGGATTCAGCTGAGCTCTGAAACCAACTTGTTCTCTCCCTTCTTTATTATATATATATATAGCCAAAATCTCTTGCTACAAACAGTTCCTAACTATTGAAAATCACTGTTTGGGAAGGGCTTTGGCACCTGAGGTGGAGTTATCTCCATGTTCCTTTGTACAGTGTTCTTTGACAAAGATTGCAAACTACAAATGTCAGAACAGTGGGAGAAGTTTTTTGACCTTTTATTTATTGTTGGACTGAGACCCATAAGTATTAACACTGTTCTGCTGCAAGTAGCTTTGAGTAAGTATGTAGTGCTGGTAGTAAAGTAAGTATTTAGGGAATGTTGTAAACGTAATTCAAACTGCATTGTAAACAGTGATACAGAAAACTAATTAGGTGCTATCTTAGCCCAGTGGTGTTTATAGCTGTTAGAGGAAGTAAGATGTCAGTGAAACTGTGATTGCTCGATTAGGGTAATTAGTTCTTTGTAGACTAATTGCATTAGAGCAGGATGTGAGACCTGAAGATCATAGCAGCAGTTGAATTAGTGTGCCTGCTTTATTGTTGCTAGTAGTACATTGCCTTGGATAGTAATTACTGAGCTTAAATGCATCGCTGATTTGACTTGAGGTTTGCTGGTGAACTGTGTGGAAAAGGATGTTTAATGAATAAAGAAGTCCCAGAACTTTAATTGTATGTGTATGGCATCTATTTCCTCTGGGAAGCCATATTGGGTCTTTGCAATGATTTGTAATGACAAGCTGTGTTCACATTGGATAAATGCAGGAGTTAGGAAAACTCTACTCAAATCTTCGAGTGGAAAGTTATCTACAAATTTTTAACTTTTGAACAGCTCCAGAGTAGTTGAAATTTAGACATAAATAGTAGAGATAAAATATTTTTTTGTCAGTGATACCAATGAAGTTACTTTCATGGTCAAAATGAAGTTAATTCATACAGGTATTTGGTACATTAAAGCAGACATTTAGTTACTGGTTTTGACTTAAGTCAGCCATAAGTGTTGGGCTTGCCAGGGATCATCACTGCAGGATGTGTCAAGCTTTTGTCCTGTTCTAAGTGCATTTTAGACCTGGCCTGCCCTAGGTTAGCAAGAGGTATACTATATTCTAAACATCATTTTGGAGTGTTTTTTTTGAAGGACAGTTGATGCTTTTTAAAAGATAGTAAACATTGTGGCATTCCAATGATAAGATTTTTTTTTTGTCTGCTTTTTTAAATTGCGTGGTGATTTTTTTTTATTTGCCCAAGTAATTTTATCAGATTTAATGATTGTCTCTTGAAAGAAGTTCTGAAAATATCTTCATTGTTAAATGACTTAATATTCAGAGTAAAGTGTATCTTTTATTAAACCATGTAGAAATAGTTAAGCAAAAATAATTTCTTTCAAATTATTTTAATATATTCTAAGAGCTCAACAATGATCTTTTATTTTCTGTTTGAAAATATATTGGGTCAAATGATCTAACAGATAGAAAAAGTTGGTACAAAGGCTTTGTTTATTTAACATCATTTACAACTGTAATACAAAATAATTAAAAATGGAAAGGCTGCAAATCTAAAAATGGGGTGCTAAATAGAGTAATAATTGAAAATAATTTTTCAATATATCTAAAGAAAATTAGGCTAAGGTTAGCACAGGCTTTGGAAGGAAGAAAACAGCAAATCTCTCTGTATTGTTTTCATAGTTCTGAGGGTTTTTTCCTTCTAGAACAAACACAAACTCATAGTATAGGTTTACATCACTCTGTTAATGCTGAATACTTTTTTTTTCTTCTTGTGGCTTCTCATTACATCTGTGATTTGACTGATGATGATGATACTGCATGGTGTTAGGAACCTTGGTGTTGCTGAATTAACTCAGTAGTTTCTTTGATTGCAACAGGGACCAAAAGAGAACAGAACAAGATACCCAAAAGTCCAATGTAGTCTTGAGATGAACAGGCCTGTGAATTTCCTTTCTGACTCTCTGCAGAGGGTGGTGGGATCCAGGGGTGGATAACTGGAAAAGCACGTTGCTTTGGGTTGGTTGTTAGGAATTCTGATAAGTTCTGAACAAGTTCTGGAAATATGCAGTCAAGCCCAATTAAAGAAAAAGGTCATATTGCTGGAAAAACCTAGCTGGAGCTTGGGTTCAGTCAGTCAGATGAGAGGTATAGAATAAAATCCTGATTGTACTGAAGTCACTGGGAGTTGTGCTTGTTTCCAGAGGGATAGGGCTCTCATCTTTTTGCTGTAAAGTTGATATATATTACTGAATATTGTTACTAAAAAAAGAGAAAACCTGAGTTTTGGAGCATAGTTCTCATTATGTAGACATTTGCAAGACTTTTTTCATCAAACCTATATTTTAAAGAAATGGTAAATTCTGTTCCTGCAAAATATTTAAGGGTGTAATTTATTACCTTAGACTCCATGGAAATGGTGTGTGTACTGGGACATCAGTCACTATCAGCTGTCTGGTCAGTGCCCCTGAGTGATCGTTAATCTAGGGTGAACAGTTTTGTGGTGACCATACATTACTACTGTTTAATTAATATAACATTGCTAATCTTAACCTGCAGTTCAAAATTCTTTGGAAACTGACATTCTGGCTCAGTTGAGCAGCCTGTCTTCATGTGTGTGCTGAGATACTTCGTTTTACATGAGGCTGTTGGAGTAGCTCTTGAGGGAATGTTCTGACACTGTTGTGTTTTTCTTTAAACCAAAGTTACTGTAGATGAAGGTTTTGGGGGTTTTTTTAAAAGCTCCATTTTACACTCTTGGTCCATTACAAAGAGAGGCAGAAGCATCAAGCAGGCTGAAGAGCAGGATCATTTCAGGATGGATTTGCTGCTGTCTGGTACCTGTGACACCTCACAGTTCTGAAGTGACAAAATCCACTGCCCCAGCAGCAGTGACCTTTCCAGACTGTATGAGCTCCTCTCATTCTAGTGTATTCTCTTCATTAACTTAAATGGTCTCAGTGGGAAACTGGGCCCAATTTATGACCTAGACTGAAAATCTTGCCTTTAACTAATTAACTTGTAGTGGTGCCTCAGCTAAATTAAGCTTAATGGGTCATTTAATCTGTCCCATTGCATAGGAGGAATTTGACACTTTTTTTAAAGCAGAGGTGCCCAAAATACTGTTCTGGCAAGTACACATAAATCATGTGGCCTTTGTGGACAATTAGATACCTAGAGAGAGGAGCAAGGTTCTAAATAAATGATCGTTATGTACTTACTTTTGGGAGCAGATAATTTAATTTGGTATGATTAAAATTGATACTTAACAGAAATCACTGGAGTGAATTTAACTCTATCATAGCCTGTAGCTGAGGCAATGTGCATTTTGCACTAGAAAGCAGTTTATCCTTTCTGGTAGCAGAAAAATGGTTCTTCTCCCAAACAGCTGTGCTAAATCTTAATATTGCACTTTACAGAAAATCTGTTAATGAATCCATTGCATAAAACATGAGAAATGATTTCATAATAAAGGAGTTGGTGGCATTCAGTGAGATTTTCCAAGAGGTTTTAAAACCCCTAGGTGGAAGGGGTTAAAACCTTAGCCACTTGGTTTGCTTTTAGAATAGTACAAATATTGAAAATGAAACCCTGAGATAGATTATAAAAGTTTACATGAAATTAAATGGTGTCTAATCTTTCTGATTTCTAGCATTTTTGTGGGGTGGGTTTTTTTGGATTTTTTTTTTTTTTTTTTTTTTTTTTTTTTTTTTTTTTTTTTTTTTTTTTTTTTTTTTTTTTTTTTTTTTTTTTTTTTTTTTTTTTTTTTTTTTTTTTTTTTTTTTTTTTTTTTTTTTTTTTTTTTTTGGTTTAGTTTATTTTTTTTTCCTTTTAAGGGAAAAAGTGGTCAAGAATGTTTGGACACTCAGGCTATATTAGCTGATGTCTAAACTTTGTGGATTGATATAGCTTTGTCTTCAGGGTTTATAAATCATTCTGGTAATCTGCAGTTTATCAGGAATGCACTGTGTCATTTTAATGTGGGTCTATCTGAACAGGCTTTTTTAAAGCAGTTCCACATCTTTTCTCTGCCAAAGGAAAAGACCAAATGAGGTAGATTTTGAACTAATTTAATTATAAAAGTTGAGGTGTTTTTACTTTTTAATAATTTTTGTTTGCCTTTTAATGTTTGTTTTTTCTTTTCACTGTGAGGCCGAAAATGTTGACATCTTAGTGCAGCTGATTTCTTTCACTTTTGCTGAGATTTGACTTTTCAAAGCCACTCTTGCATTTTGTGGTGGGTTTCTGGTTTTGTTTGTTTGTTTTGTTGCAGTTGTTATCTTCAGCCTTGAAAACCAGTTTCTGTACTTGAGGTGGGAAGGTAGCAGGTTTTTTTCTGCTGTCTTTACTTCTGCAGTGGATTATATATCAGGTGAATCCAGTGATGCAAAACTTCTGTAGCAAGGCCCAATTCACTGTTCTGTGTTTAGTTTGCAGTTTTATGTTTGTTTCGTGGTAACAGGAGGGAAAGTTTAGAATTGAAACTTTAGAATTGATGAATTCATCTTTTTCATGTTTGTAGGTATTTCCTATTAGCAAAATAGTCTGTATGACATCATCTTCTACCAAATGGGCATTTTGTATTTAACCAGATTTTCAGAAAATGCATTCAGCATTTCTAGAATCAGGCCATGAAATTCAGCAGTTGCTACAATTGACTGTCTGAATCATGAATATGGAATAAAAATGGCTAAAACTTAGGCAAAGGTTGTTATTATAAGCTCTTAAGGTTTGTCCTTTTTTCTCCTTCATTATTGCTGCATATTGCTAGAATGAAAAAATGAATTACATTATGATAGGTTCAGTGTCCATAATGTTTGTTCATTTCTGCTAAAACTATTACATAATTTCCAGGGATGATTGTAAAATTAACAAGTTTTTCGAATTCTGGAAGCTGTTTGAGACGTGAGGGCACTGTGCCAAATTACTTTTCATTTCAAATATTGAGGCTGAAAAGTGAAGGTCACCGAGGAAATTTCTCATTTCCCAAACCAAGACATCTGAGCTATCATTCAGATATTTGAACATTAAAATACACATCCTTAGTCTAAATTAGCCAGGTATAAGAAACCTTGCCTTACATGATAATGCATAATTTTCACCCAAATGTCAAAATAATGTGTCTTTAGAAAGAAGTAAAATTCCCATGTATCAAATTCAGGTTGAATTTTTTTCAAAAATTCCACATAATTAAAGTAGAACTTAATTTTACAATAAAAGTTATCTGAAACTGGCACTAGCTGCAGTTTCTTCAAATTTGGCTTGAACTCGGTAGTGATCACCAATATGAAACTTCTCTGAAATAAGTGAAGCTCCAATTCTTTGTAAAGGTACTGATCTATGTGTTTAAAATTCAAGTTCTTGAAACAAGGAGTGATGCTCCAGCAAAGAAGTTGCTTGTGTTTCATTTTCCCTTCTTCTGCACATCCCCATTGCATTTCCAGAACTCCATGTACCTGTGGAATAATCCTTTCTGGTTAGTGTAGAGTTCTGGCCTTCCTCATGCTGCTTTATCTTTGCCCAGCAGCCTGTCTGTGTGGCAGGATTTTGATTAAGACTAGTGAGTGGGGAGCTGGAGGAAGGGAGTGGCTGTGGGGATGCAGGAGGGAGTTGGCCCTGGTGCAAAGGCAGCAAAAAGAGCAGGCAGTGAGGGAGGACCCAGGGCAGGATGGCACTGTGCAGTACTGGTTTGTGAGTGGGTGTGTGGGTTTTCTTCTGTGGGTTTTGTGTTTTAACATCTTTAAATGATTTGCCACTTCAACCATTCTCAAATGTTTTTATTGATATATTGCTTTTTTCCTTAAATGTATGCTTCCTCTCCGTGTGCCATCTGGCAAATTTTAATTTAACCATGTGGTCCATAATGAATATTGTGTTTTCAGGCAGAGTTAGTCCCTCCTCCCTGCTCCCATTTCCCAGCCTCCTACCTCTTGTATGCTTGGTCACAGAGAATTTTGATGTTGCAAAGCTATTGACCACTGAGAGGAGACATGGACCTGTATCTGTTTTATTTTCTTTATTCTAGTAGTACTTAGGAGACCAAGGAAAGTAGCATTTAGAACGACTAACTGAGTATTGTTCTTCAATATCTGAAAAATGAGTGTTTAGTCAGTGCAATGCTGTTTGGTTTCCTAGAAGACATTGTTTGAAATGATTTTGTCACATATGTTGCTTCCTGCAGGGGGAAAAGAGTATTCTGGGGGAGAAATTTTAATTCCAGCAAGCTTTTTACTTCTCATTTCTATCAAATGTTTATCATGCTGTAATCATATCTGAAATAAAATGGTTAAAGTCAGTCCTGTGTATAACTGACTTGTGAACTTACACGTTTATTTTTACAGGTGTAGAAACAATTTTTTGTCTCAGGCTAAATGAGTGTATATGTAGATGTCCTGGCAGTCATTGTACCATTGATGTTGTTCTCTTTCTGTCTGCCAAGCAGAGTATACCAGTAAAATTGCTGCATAATTTTAAATTGGTAGTTCTGACATCAGTGAAGGTATTTTAATCTACCTCTGGCAAAAATTGCCATGTTTGTTAGTGTCAGAAGAACCACAGAAGTGACCTGTTTACTGGTGTGGTGGTGATTTTCTATATTAGAATTTTAAAAGTCCCAGATAAATAACTCTGAGTATGTGTTCTTTTTATTAATGTGTGTTGAATTCCATGCAAGATTGCACATGTAGGTTTATATTGTATGATTTGTTACTGAGTTAATGAGAGCTGTGTATTTTAGGTATGAGGATTTATATGCTTGGTTTTCAGCTTTTGGGGCTTTCACCAGAGTTGGTTAGAAAAACAATCTTAAAAAATAAAAAGTAAATTATTAATTTTTGAGAAATGCTTGATAGAATAGTCCTTACAGAGACATTCTGTTTTGTGAATACAGTATTTTGGAAGACAATTCATTTGGACTTCTCTTGCAGGCTTCTGTATAGTTTAGCCTTTAATGCCAGATTCCTGAGGCATCTCTGGTATTTGATATCTTCAATGACTACAAGAATGATTACAGGGTATGTACTGTACTGTTTATGAAACTGACTCTTTGTAAAAGTGAAGTATGTCTAGCGAAAGGGGAATGGCACGATTAGAGGTATGGTTACTTCCCTCCTGTGGTTTCATAAAACTGAGCAAAATCTTGAAATTGGACTGTTGTAAATAAAGAAAATGCTTATGATAAGTAAGTTGAATGTTCAAATTGGACTGTTGTAAATAAAGAAAATACTTATTTAAAGTAAGTTGAATGTTTTGTCATTTTTGGAGTACTTAATAGCATTAATGTAACAGTCACTGAAGCCCCCAGTTCTTCATCCCAAGTGTGTGAGTTTTATCTCGCATACTTTGATTAGTCCAGAAACTGATGGTGTCAGAAACATTCCCAGGAGTTGAGGCATGGAACCTACAGATTTGTTCAGTGCTGACTGGCAGATTAGTTACTTGCTTGAAAAGTATCTGCAGTCTGTAATGTTCAGTGCTGACTGGCAGATTAGTTACTCACTCTGCTTTGTACCTTGAAAAGTATCTGCAGTCTGTAATATTTAATGCCAAAGTTTATATGTCATCAAGACACTGAGATATATACGAGTGATATATACTATATACTATACTAGATATATACTAGTGACAAGAACTTGCAATATTAACCTTATTTTGCAAGAATTTGAAATAGTAATTACTTAACTGAAAGTGCCTTGTTACTTTGCTGTAGGAGCTACCATAATATTTTTTTGCTAGAATGCTGAAGGTAATATTTTTGTAGAGTATTTAAGTAACCATCTCTTATATTGAATTTTATATTTCAAGGTCTATGGTGCCACTACTTCAAGTGATTTCAAGAGGCTCTCCAATGTCTTTAGAAGACTCTAGCCGAATTATCCCTCTCTTCTACCTTTTCAGTTCTTTGTTTAGTCATTCACTTATTTCTATTCATGATAATGAATTCTTTGGTGATCCAATAGAAGGTGAGTTGCATGCATACTAAATAGCAGTGCTTTGCAAAATGCTTTTGTGTTAGGTTAGAGTTCCCTGGGCAGTGATTTGCTGATATCTATGAGGAAGGCTCTGCTGGGCTGCCTTGCTGATGGTCCCCTGAGCACTCAGCTGTCAGCTGGCTCTTTCAGGGTGATTGCATTTAGAAAAAAGAGGTAAAAATTGATGGTCTGCACCTTGGGAACCCGTGCTTTACAGGGTCTGATATGGAAGTTCTTAATCATGATAATTTTTAATGAGTTAGTGAAGACAGCGAACTTCTTCTGGACTGAACCTGTAGTCTAATGTAAAAATTTATCATAGCAGGAATCACAAAAGTGAACAAGAGGATATTGTAATTCAAATCTCTGTTACTGCAGACAATTCCACGACTTGATCTCCTTTATAAATGTTTGTTCATTCACTCTTTGGATGATGTTTCGTTTCTCCACCTTTCGATTTTCTGTGTGAATATTAAAGTTTCAATGACATAAGTGTTTTTTTAATAATAGAATGATTAAGAACAAGTCATTTAAGGAAAGTTAAACTTGTGTTTTATGTAGTTGTAGGTCAAAGACAATCATCAATGATGCCTTTTACACTAGAAGAGCTTGTAATACTATCACGCTGCCTTCGAGATGCATGTCTAGGAATCATAAAGTTAGCTTACCCAGAAACAAAGCCAGAGGTTCGTGAGGAATATATTGCAGCATTTAGAAGTGTTGGAGTCACAAAAAATACGGAAATGCAGCAGTGTATACAGACGGAGCAGAAAAGGTGGATTCAGTTATTCAAGGTAAATTGTGCCGATTTTCAGAACATATTGAAATAAAATTTTCAGGCTTCTGCTGAAGGTAGGAGATTAGGTATTTTGTCCCTGCTAATTCTAATGCTGTTGCAACAAGGAGTATGGATTTGGGAAGGTTGCTGTTTGGTGTATGTGCTGAGTAACTCTGAGTAACTAAATTCTGATCACAAATCTTTTTTGCTTCTGTAAACTCTTAATTTACTTGCTTATCTTGCGTATAAAAAAGTGTATAGAATAATGGGATTTAACTTGGACTCTCATTCAGCAGGGTACTTAAGCATGTAGTCATAAGTTTATGTAGATGTGAAATTCTAACTGAATCTTATGATTACTCAGGTACTTCTGTTTTAGAGACTTCACTAAATTAGTACCATGCTGTGTTGGTTTGGTTGGTGTTCTGTTCAAATCTGTTGGTGCTACTCCTTTTGGGTTTGCTGGAATACTAACGGGAAGGCAAATCAGGCTAAGCAAATGTGAACTTAATGTATGTTCCTTCTGGATATCTACCAGTGATAGTTTTATCCATGGCATCCTACCTAAGACATGAGTTAAGAGAAGCTGAAAACGTTGGCAGAAAAAAAACCCCCTAATATAACTGTTGCCGGAAAAAAAAGGAGTGCTTGACTTGTCATGAAAATTCTGCAGCAAACACATCTAGTCAGCTAAAATTGCTCATTAAAGAAGTGGGAGCAGAAGAAATGCATTTTCCAAATTGAATGCTAGATTTACAGTCTGTTTAATACTGGCGACCTCTCGCACACTAATGTTCAGTTGGAGTCATCAGCTGTCCCTTCAGGTCTTTTATCACTGCTTTTGTCAAGCTATCTATTTAATTGAAAGAAGTTAATTGAATGAAAATGATCAACTAAGCTTGTATTAATATTGCTAATGGAACTTTCTTCTTGGCCATGTTTGGAGAAAGATGTCATGCTAGACTTTAGGAAAGGCCCATTAAGGCTTGCACTTAACCTGATGGGCTAATTAAGGAATGCTTATTCATTCTACAAGTCTAAGATAGCCTCTATCCAGCCTATTCTGCCTGATTTTACAACACATTTCACTTATGAGCATAAGCATTAATAGCAGTGAGAGTAACTGATAATGTTTTGATTGCATTGAATACAGTCCTAATGCACCACTGAATTTCTAATTTGCACAGATTGATCTAATATATGTTTGCACAGTTTAATTTAATTACTTGTCTTTAAATTGCCAAATAAACTTTCGATTTAAAGGTCACAAGTGAAAACCCCAATATGTCTATTTTTCTAAGAAACATGGCATGCCAGGGGTACTTTTGTGCATGCAGTTCATATCCTGTAATCTTCTATTTGTTCTCCTTAGTTTGTTGTACTTGGTCTTCGTGTAAGCTGCATAGATTTAAGGTGAATTTGATCATATTTTTGGGAAAGCTGTAAAATCCCAAGTTACTCTGCCCCATTTTGGCAGTCAGGAATAAAACTTGCGGTGCAACTGTCTAAACTCAGTGTACTCTTACTATTTTTAGGAGCCAGGGTTGTCTTCCATTAACTGAATTACAAATGAAAATCTTGAGGGTATCTTGAAGGCTTTGGTTCTACCAAAAAAAAAGAAAATAGTAGCAAAGTTCTCTTGTTTAGTTCTTCAGAAATATTGTTACAGGTAAAAATTGAACACTACTAAGTTCATCTCATCGAGAAGACTACTGTACGTAGCACAGAGTCTTTCCTGAGGACAGCTTCAAATAGCTTCTTGACAGTAAGCTGGCAGCAATACTTTCTTCCAGATCATTAAGTAAAGCTAAAGTAGTTCATCATCAATTTAAGTAGAAAATACTTTTCTTTCTCTTTTGCTTATGTCAAATATATGTATAAAATAGATGAGAAGCTTTTGCAAGCTGCCTGCAGTCAAAAAGGCATGTTCCTTCCTTGTCATCTCTGCTTTTAATTTATCTTTTTCCTTTTTGCTTTGTTTTGCATATTTTCTGTGTGTCTGGTGGCTAATGAAATGCATTCCTATATGTACATAAACATATACATATATATACACACAGAGATACATATATATATATACACACACACATGCAAGTATAGGCCTTACTTCTGCAAGGTAATGGTAAATCTGATAACAGTGAGGCTGCTGGCAGTGCTGTGTGTGTTTGCTAACAGATTGGAGATCTTTGGTAAGATTTACATGTGTAAATGTATTCATCCAACAGAATTCCCCGTTTTTGGCTCAGTATAATACTAAATAGTGTAGTAAACTGTTAAAGATTCCATAGAGAGGTTTAAGTTTGAAAATGGATTTTGTCAGATAAATTATTTCACTACCTTGAGTTAATCCTATGAAATCAAGTTGCTAATTTTCCTGAAATGTAGTATTGAGTGTTACTTGCACTTAGCACTTCATTGGAAAGAAGTCTCCATTTTACTGTCATTTATTGTAGTGCATCTTCCCTATGAGTAAAACACATACTTAGGAAGATTTTTATGAAGGAGTCCTGAGTTGAGGTGACAAGTGTTCTCAGGGCCTGTGCATTCTGCAGAAGGCACTCCAGTCTCACCCACTTTGATTCAGCTTCCTTCAACGTTTCTTTTGCAGCTTGTAAAAGATTTTATTCCCATGATCTTCACATGGATAGTCTTTCTGATTTTATTTTCCTTGTAGAAATATTTATCTGACTTGCAGTGGTGATAGGACTGCAGAGCTTCAGTGATTCATCTAACCTGCACCGAATTTTATAAGGGTGAGGTGATGAAAATTCCTGTGTAATCAGACAGTTCCCTTAATAGCATTCTTTGTTCTGTCTTTATTCAAGATGTTACTTTAAAAACTGGGTGTTAAAAGCTCTTTTGTGTAGCATCTAGACACAGAATCCTTTAGAAAGCCCATTAAACTCCTTGTTACTCTTGACACCTGCCCATTAAGACTGTCTTTTAGCAAGATTATTTCAGAAAAGCTTTGTGTATGTTTTTTTTCCTATTCATTTTTCAAGTGTGGTACTTCTAAGTTGCAAAACAGATGGCTGTTCATTGTAGCAGTGATAACATCTTTTTAGGCTAGTAATTTAATATGCTATTGATTCCTCTTAATTATGTTTTATGTAGTGTTGGGTAAGTTGGTTCTGCTGTGGGCAGAAGGCATGCAACCAAGGATGACAGTTGTGCTTGAGATGGAGTACCTGTTAGCTTGGTATCTCTACTTATTTTTACTTATTTTTTTCTGGATTGGAGGAAATTGCCAAGAAAAATACTAAAATTGCAAAGACACCATAGTGATTGTGATAGCTATTTTTCTGAGCCTCCCAATTTTGTTATGAAGATGTGAATAAGCTAGTTATCTGTGCAGTTTTCTCATTTCCTGGCTGTATGGTGATAATAATAACAGAATTGCCTTTCATAATCTGAGTTCTTTAGGAATGAAAATTGTTATCTGTGCAGTTTTCTCATTTCCTGACTGTATGGTGATAATAATAACAAAATTGCCTTTCATAATCTGAGTTATTTAGGAATGAGAATGAATTAGCATAGTGGTTTAAGCTAATGTGCTTGTGATAGGGTATGCATCATGAGTATGAGTGTATGCACCACCCACCGTGGTTCAGCTGATTAGCAAAAATGTGTCACCCACCGTGGTTCAGCTGATTAGCAAAACTGTGTTGAACCACTGTTACTAGGTGGTTTTCAGGTAAAGGTTTGTATGTTCTTTTTGAAAAGACCTTACTTACATTTTAGTTTGTAAGTAACATGATAATACACTGTACTTACATTTTAGTTTGTAAGTAACATTATGATAATACACTATACATGTGCCTATTAAATTAAAATTACAACAAGCCACTCCACGTTTTTTTAGGACTGTAGGTGCTTTTTGTTCTGTTTTGAACATTTGATAACCATCCTTTATTTGAAAGCACTCTGCTTTTAGCTGTATTTGGGCTAGGTCCTTCTCAGAAGTGGCTGTACTTCCTGTTGGATCCTTCAGTCTTACAGTAGGATTTACTGTAGAGTATAAACAACTGAGCTAGTCACACTAAGGTCTCTTTTAGTAGAGACAAGAACTTGGAGGGTACAGTTAATTTGATAAATTGTCACCTACATCTGGATGAGATGATCTTTATTTCCCTAGCCAGCTTTGAGAGCGCTAACAAGATACTCACTGACAAGAAAAGGAGCCTGTAGTGTCTCTTCAGATGTAGACCTTGAGCCTAAAAATTATCAGCATTTGATTTTTCACAGAGATAATCACCTTTGTGACTGGTGAGGATTGTTAAAATTCCCCTGAGGCACATTTAGCTGGTAGTGCTTTAGTTTGTTAGTGCAGCAATCAGAAGTACTGGTTAATGTTTTATACATTTTTGCTGTTACATTTTGTTGCCAATCTAATCCTTCTGCCTTCTCTACTTTCAGAAAGTTGAAGTTGGCTTTTGTACAGTTTGGCCATTGAGAAGTGCATGAGAGATTCTTCTGCTGGCTGGTTAAGTTTATTGACTATAGGCAGAAATACCCACCGATTATTAGCCGATCCCTCAGATTTTCCTAGTGTGGAGTGATACACACGTGACCTTTGTGTCTTGAGATGGCAAGCAGAAGTTCCATTCTTCTGTGGAACATTTTCCTTGAAAACATGATGCACAGAAGTTTAAGAGTCTCCTTCCTTATGGGCAAAGAAATCAGCTATATTGTTCTGGATCTCAGTTTTGGAATGAGAAGTAGGAAAGAACAGCTATATAGTTCTCTCATCTAAAACATACATCTGTTTATACATTTCATTTCTGAAAACATATATAAGCAAAAAAAAAGAAAAATCTATGTAAAAGAACATTGTATAAGTTACCTGGTTAGGTGTTATTTTCATTAAAAGTGTAATTTAATGTTGGTAATGATTTGTTTAGGTTTCCCTGAACTGGCATCCAACATGTTAGGTGTGCAGTATTACACAGTCCTGTGTAGTCCTGGTTCTTAGGTTTTGGAATGACACTTTAATAAGCCAATTTTTTGGATGACTTACAAGTGAACCATGATTACTTACTTGCAATTTAAGGTATTTAAGGGGAAGTTTTTTAACAATTTCATACATTACTGATTTTTTTGTTTAAAAAATTTTTGCTTGTGGGTTGTGTAATCTCATTCACAGTGCTAAATATATATTGCATGTATGTGTTTCTGACACTTAGGTCATCACAAACTTAGTGAAAATGTTGAAGTCTAGAGATACAAGGAGAAATTTCTGCCCACCAAATCACTGGCTCTCAGAACAGGAAAACATTAAAGCAGATAAGGTAAGAGTCATGTCCTTTTCCAGAAAGCTTTACAAGTGCCAGGGTTTCAGTGATGAAGTGTTTGATTCCTGACAGGTTCAGTGATGTTGGTATTGCAGAGATTGTGTGATTTGAAACCTTGAGTAATGTTGCTTTTCTCTTATGTAAAAGTCTTGGACTTTCTAACTTTCATGTTAAATCCCATTTGCAATTCATAAAGTGGAACTTGCTGTACAGTGCAACAGTGTAAGTAATTTGCATCTATAGCAGAGGAGAACTGAAAATTAAGTAGCATTTTATTGTATTTTTCATAGTAAAAATGCTATATATCGAACACACATAATTTATATGTGTCCCTTTTCCGGGTTAAGTAAAGGTGGCCTGTCCACCTTGGTCAAAATTGGTAAATTTTGTCCAAATTAGTAGAACGTGACACGTCATGGAGTTGTCCCCACCTACTACCCCTCTCCACCAGTCTTTATTAAGTAACCAAATAATTTACAATACAGATGTTACAATAATAGATGGAATCTACAAATTACCAGGTATGTTAACTACAATGCTGGTCTTACTAGCAAATAGATGTACAATGTCTACTGATGAAAACAAAGCACTGGAGACCAGAGTATGGGCAGTCCTTTTCTGCTGGAAGGTGGATAATCCCAAGGTTTGTGGGAGTTCATCATTACCTTGAATCCATTTTCCACATGCACCAAGAGGGAAGCCGAAGAACATGATATCTGTTGTGTTGGTACTTTCTTGGATCTGGGGTCGAAGATGTTGGTGTTTTTCGACTTCTTCTCTCGCTGCCTCTGCCAAGGTGGAATCTTTACTCTCGTACCTCACTTTAATGTCAACCACTTGATTCTCTTTGATGAAAACCAAGTCTAGCTTATATAAATTATTTTGGTCATCCTTGATGTTTGGTTCTTGGATGACCACCCAGTCCTTTTTCTTTGCTTCTTCTAGTAGAATTTGACAGAGTTGGTTGTGTCTCTTTATACGGGCTCCTTGGACTGCAGGACAGTACCCTATGATGTGGGCACTGGATTCGTTGTCAGCCTGGCTGTGCCTGCAGGATTGGATATAAGAATCTTGTCTGCTCCTTACCAGGAATTCTCGATGGGGGTAGACGTTGTCTCTAAGTTGGAGTGCAGTAATGATCTTTCTATGAGGTACGCTACGGTAGTGTTTGAGCCAGTAGTTGCTGATGTCATCTTTCTCAAAGTTGGAAATACAATGGCCCTGGGATATCAATCTTTTCCAGTTGTTAAATTCTACCTTCCTCCAGTTGCAAGGTCTCGGAAAACAGATCTTTGGAGCGGAGGCCTCCCATTCCGATTCTGGTGCGTCCTCACCCCGATCAGAAAATATTAGAACTGTACTTGGGTCCCAGATCAATGGAATCTTGTCTTTATCCCCTCCAGCTTTTACCCATAGTTCCTTACACTCCTTCTCAATACCCTGTTCTTTAAGCACAGCTTTGATGGTATCGTCGAAGGACCGTGCAAGTCTGTGCAGCCTCTGAGCTTGCACACTGGCTATAAGTCCCATCAGTCTAATAATTCCTAACCCGCCGTCTCTCGTGTTGGAATATAAGAGACAGTTGCAGGTGCACGATGGTTGGTGCAGCCACTCCTTGACGTCAGTCCTTATTTCCTCATCAAGGCACTCGAGAAATCTTGCCTTCATGTCTGCCTGGTCTGCCAGATATATTATTCTGGGAATTGTATACGTTTTCAAGATGTTGACGTTCTGCATTGGTTTCAATTCAGCTCTTCCTATCCAATGGAGCCAATCTTCTCGTTTCGATGTTTTTTTGGGCTTTGTAATGCCCACCCAGGGGTCGATGTTAAGACCCAGATATTTCTCGGGGCTCCCGGGATCAATCATGTTCTGGGGGTGCCGCTGACCGTCCAAGGTTGGCAGTCATTGATGACATACAGATCTTTCGTGGGCTTGATGGAAAAGCCGTGGCACTTATCTCCCTGTGTCTTGAGTCCGGTAAGATGGCAAAAGGACTCAAGAATCCTGATGGTATAATCCATGCCATCCCAGGAGTCACTCAGCATAACCAGGTCTCATCCACAAAGGCCATTACTGTTACGGACTGTCCACAGTACTGGACCCCTTTCCCTTTCTCTTGCAACTTACACAGTAGAGGGTCCAGAGCTAAGCTGAACAAAATCGGAGACATCGGATCACCTTTTTTCACCCCAGTCTGAATTTGGATTGGGTCTGTCTGCCCATTCTTCAGGTTAATAATTGTACAGATGTCTTTGTACGTGTTCGTGATCAGGGCGATAATATGTTGGTCCACTCCCTTTTGTCGGAGAGCCATAATGATGTGGTCATGGCTCACCGTGTCGAAGGCCTTCGCAGTGTCCACAAATACAACACACGTTTCGCGATGCTCCTCCTTCGCATGCCAGAGCAAGAGATGTAACAGCTTCGGGTTCTCGGAGCATCCGGGTGATCTGATGAAACCCCTCTGCCTTGGGTTACTGGGGCATGCACTGCTCAGCCTGAATGTTACAATCCTTGAGAACAGTCTCAAGATAGTAGACCTGATGGTAATAGGCCACCAGTTGTTAATATCCATCTGGCTGTTGGGTCGCGCTGATTTTGGTATTAAGACAGTCCGGCATCCTCTCACCGTGTCCAGTATTGCTCCAGCGACCAACCAAAGACTGAAGATTTCCATCAGCTGGGAGCAGTTGGGGTCCATCTTAATGATGTCTCTCAAACTGATCCCATTGGGCCCTGGAGTGGAGTTCTTACTCATCTCTTTAATGTTTTTGGAAATCTCCTTGGCCGTGATCATGGTGTGGAAGGCTTGGTTGTTAGCTTGACCGGAAGAACAGAAATTGCCGAGTCCCTTGAATGTACTCTCCGACTCTCTTGACTTGAAAACGGTGTAAACCTCGTTGAGGGGGATGCCACACTTGAGGGCCTCCATGTCATCCAGTATGATACTGGCTAGTTTCCCTTTGCCAAGATAAAACAGCCGCTGGAAGCATAGATACTGCCCTCGGTTCTTGGCCCTCCTCTTCATCCACTCAGAGTGTCAGACAGAGAAGGGCAGTCAGATCTCGAGCGCTTCTTCTCCTGACGACCCTTCCCTGTGCCCACTGTCAGCCGCAGGCGTGCATAGCAGTCATTGACTGCCTCATTAACCATTGATGTTGCCTTATTCTGATCTTCCAGGATCATTGCAAAAGTCCCCTGAAGAATGGGCAAAGTAAAAGAATTGCTCTTTAGTGGAGGAAATGCCCTCAAAATTCTCTGCCAAAATGGAAGAAAATTCAGTAGTATTTTTTGTACTTACTTCACCTAGAAATTACTATTTTTCTAGGAGCTTTTGAAAAAAAATGACATTGTTTGATCTTTATAAGTGTGTGTGTGTGTGTGTGTGTGTAAAAGAAAGAATTAATATGAACATGCAAGTTGTGACATCATTGAGTCATTGAAAACTTGGATTTTAGGAGGCTAGTTACACCTCAGACTACCTTGCACCATTTGATGTCTTATTGGTTGGAAGCTCTGCACAGAATAGTTAAGAGTGAATTTTTTTGTTTGTTTCTGATGATTGCACGTTTGTGTTCCTTATGTTTAAGATTACCATTTCTCTGTGTGAAGAGTTCTTTATAATTCATAGGAAATAGTGCCTAGCACACCCTAGGAAGGGTGGTAGTAGTCTTAAACTGTGATAATAACCTGATTCTCGATACAAAGTAAACAGAATTTGACATCTCAAAATTCAAACTCAAATTCTCTAGTATCTTAAGTACCAAAATTTATTGTAACTTTGAGTGGTATTCTTGAATGATACATGGACTTTTTATTATATACTTTGCAGCTCAGCTTTAAGGCACAAGTGTAAGGAGGAGTAATTAGAAATGTAGATATTTGAGCATTCAGACAGGCTCTTGGATGTGACAATTATATGTATTTACTGTGTAATAGTAAATTGTAAGGAGTAATTAGATAATATTTAAAATACTGTTAATTATTAGGTCACACAGCTGTATGTGCCATCCGCCAGACATGTCTGGAGAGTTAGAAGAATGGGAAGAATAGGACCACTACAGTCTACTTTGGATGGTAAGATACTGTTTTTTCTTTTGGAAATCCAAGTAACAGTTTGCCTTATGCAAAGAAAGTCTTCCTTTTCTAGAGCTCAGTTGAGTATTTTGTACTAAAGTCTTGGTAGGCAAAAGCAATGCGGTTTGTAATAGTTTTGTTTCAGGTATTTTAAAAAATTGTATATTTGTGTACACGTGTATATCTTTTAGCATATTTAATTTAATAACAGCTTTACTCAAGATTCTGCTGGCATTCGTGAGGGGAAATGATGGGGTAGACAAATGATATTTTTGAAAAATATACGTATTAATATGTATAAAAAGTAGTTGCATAAGAGAAAATGAATACTGTTCCAGAACATGTAGAGCATTGAGGTTTTGCCTTTACTGTATGCTAGAAAGAATCATCTTCATTATATGTGAAAGTGTAACAAACAAGCTTTACATGTTAAATATTAATTGCTGTTTATAAGTATCGTCTCTAATTAGATAAGGCAGAAATTTAACTGCTTGAATTACTCGAAATGTCTGGATTGTATGGGACTTCCAGAGAAAGATGAGAGAATTGGACCAACTTAGCCATCAGGGTAAATTTGCAATAGTTAGTTGTGCTGATGTACTTTCTCATGTACACAGGCTGTTTCTTTCAGCTTTTCATACATTTTTAGGTTCAGTTTTCTAAAATTTTACCTTGCTATGCTCAGGTGAAATAATCGTTAAATCACTAACACTTGTGCAGGTTTAATAATGAATTACAAATGGGGCCTTTAAGCAGCAAAATGACTCATCTACAAGAGTCTTTGAATGCTGCTATAGTTTGTCCAAGGCTGAAACTGAAGGACTTCTTATAATGATACTTTTTATTTGAGTAGCTGTGATGGCATAAGTATGATACCATGAGTAGCTATGATGGCATGAGAAGCATCTCCCCTCTGAGGACAGACTGAGGAAGTTGAGCCTACAAGGGATTTGATGATAGGACAGGGAGTAATGGGTTCAAGTTGAAGGAGGGGAAATTTAGGCTAAATTGTGAAGGGTGGTGAGGCACTGGCACAGGTTGCCCAGGGAAGTAGTGGCTGCCCCAGCCCTGGCAGTGTTCAAGGCCAGGCTGGATGAGGCCTTGAGTATCCTGGTCTAGTGGGGAGGTGTCCCTGCCCAGGGCAGGTAGAGTTGGGACTAGGTGATCCATAAGGTCAATTCCAACCCCTAAAATTCTATGATTCTATGAAGTTTACTTGGATTATGTTATTGGTGTAGTTGCCAGATAACAATTGGTTAGTCCAGTGTAAATACTCCTCAGGACTTTGTGGGGTTTTTTCACTTTAGTTTCTTTCTTAGGAAATCACTTATTTTAATTGATTGATGATATAAAGTTTTAAAAGCAGGTGTTTTCAGCAAAAATTGCCAGGCCTCAAGCAACCCTGTATGTATACCTTACAGACTCCACATCAGCAATTCTTGTTTCCTCCATTGACCTAAATGACTCTTGACAGCTGTATATATACTGGCTTGATGTTCTCCCCTGTCAGACCTGTTCTACATTTGTTACTTCCAGATTCTCCTGGTACTAGCCTCCTTCCCCTCATATATACAATATCTTGAGCTCTCTGCCTTGCCTTCCTTCCCAGAATAGCACCAGTTCCCTCCATTAGTTGCCTTGGTCAGGGCTGTTGGTGGCTAAGGAATGCACATGCTGTGGTTGGTGTGAAGCAACTGGGCCCTCATTTTCCTGGCTGGTTATCAAACAAGGTGACACAGTGAACACAGCAGATAACTGAGATCTCCTTGCTTATTCTGTGTTCAAATCACTGTAGGAATTTCTCTTTTCTGTCCAGATGAAAATTTTCACAGTACTTGCTATTTTTCAATCTCCTATCCTCTGTCAAAGTTCATCTGATTAGCTCAAAAGATGTGTTGGAGGCAAGATGGTGAGGAAAGATGCCACAGTGTGTTCATGCAAACCTTGTTTTCACATGAAATCAGGCTAAAAAAAAAGGTGCTGTCAACATGAATGTGTGAAAACAAGCAGGTAATGATGTGCACATGACTTGTTTAATCCCTCTTGACTCAGTATGGGTTAAAGCCAATTAGCATGAAAGTACTGCTGAATCACATATGGTCATGTTTATTTGTGCTTTTTCATTTACTTAAATGGCAGACTCGTGAGTTCTAAATGCCCTCTATTGATGACTCCATCCCATATTTCTCTTTAAAGAAAGGAGTCGTGATGGAGAAATGCAGATAAAATTGACTAATTGACTGAAATAATTGAACTGTCCAAGTCATGTAGTAGTTTACCTTTGCTGTACATGCACTTTTTATTTAAAATGCTTTTAACTGTTAGCTTAATAGGCTGCATACATTGACTTTAATTAAAAATGTTTACTAAGTAAACTAAGGGTAATCACAGATAAGCATTTTATCAGAAATTCCTAAGGCCTGCAACGTTGAAACCTGCCCCAAATGAATATACATCAAGTATAGTGATGTTTTGGGTCATGTCCTGTTAAATTGGTGCTTAAAATATCCCTACTGAAAGTGCTTTGGGAAGTTGAAAAAGAAAAAAAGAAAATCAAAGTGATGTCCAGTTGCAGAAGGGCAGGAAGATGCTTGTCACCTGGGTAGGAGCCAAAGGAAAAAACTTGGAACTGTCATTATAAACCTCTAGACTGGGTAGTGACATGAAGCATTTACTTATTTTATACTACAGTCTATGAATAGTCAAGGCTGTGGAGTCTTTTCTCAGTAAGGTGGTTATTAAACATGAAAACAAAACAACTATGGAACTGTGGGTATTGTTTCCTCTGTAGACTGAAGCTAGGTGGACCCTTAACCACACTGTCTAGTCAGTGAGCAATACTGTATTTTTTTCTGCAGTTAATGAACTTACAGTCAGATATGTGCTCAGCAGCTGAGTTTCCTCCCATGAAGGTAGAGCAGGATTGTAATTTCGACTGTGCATCACCCAAAGTTGAGTTGTTTCCTGGAAACATCCTCTGTGGCTGTAAGAGGGCTCAAAAGAGCTGGACAGTAGCTTGGGAACTGCATGTGAGCGAGCCTCTTTGTTGTGGCTTCTTAAATTCTACTCTAATAATTTTTTCTTAAGTACATTGTACAATTTCTTGGTATTTCCAGTATTTCTGCAGTGACTGGGATTTAGTGTGCTCACTGCGACCTTGCCATTGAAATAAATGTTACCTTTCTTCTACCATTTCATTAGACATGGTGTAAATCTTAGTTTTTCTGTGTAAAATGATTTGGAAGTAGATGGTATAATTGAAAGCACGGTAACTTTAAACTATTTTGTTCATGGGGATGGGAATAGTGTGTATTCCAGAGATGATCATTCTAAATGCTTTTAATTTGTCTTCAGTAATGTATTTTTCTTAAAAAGTTCAAATGTCAATATTAAGAATTTTTTTAATAAAATGAAGATGTACAGAAGTACTTATTTTTGTAGGCAGTTTGTTTTCAGTGTCTTTTTACTGCTTATATTTCTGTCTACCTGTAGCAGCTAATGTTTAAAGAAAGGTAAGGCTCTGTGTGACTGTATAGTAAATAAACTATTTAAATGTTGCATTTTTATATAAAGTAAATCGAGTCCCTTGTTACAAGATAAACTGTTAAAAAAAATGTTCTTTCCAAAATTTTTTTTAATTATCTTTTCCATTTTAAGTGGGTTTGGAACCAGCACCTCTTTCTGTATCTGAAGAACGACAACTTGCAATTCTGACAGAGCTACCATTTGTAGTTCCTTTTGAAGAAAGAGTAAAGGTACCTAATTTCTGGTTTAATATATTATTACATTTTGAGCTTTTTGGTTTGATATATGTAAAAAGGATACTTAGTGAAGTAGAAACTGGATTGATTCCCTGCAGAAGGATGTCACAGTCTGTATTGTTTTTCTTCAATACTCGTGTAGCAACTGAACACTGGAAGTTAATTGCTTTTCTCTTATTTTACTCGTTGTATTGCCCTTTATAATAATTGCATTAGGATTAGGAACGTGTATTCCAAGGCACATGAGACCAGTTGCAGTCGAGTCAGGGATTGAGCTACATGGTTGCACCCTCTTGTGGTAGCAGAGCACTGATGAGTTTTGTGTCTGTAACAAACACGTCAAGGTTGTGTCTGGAGTCTTTTGAGCAGTCAGTGGGTGGATTTGCTCAGAATGAGACGATGTATGTCCATTTTGGGAAAATAATGCCTTGAGGTTAAGTTTGTGCATTCATAGCTGAATAGCTGAGCTTTATAATAGAGTATGTAGCTCTAAAACTTGCAAGATTCTTGAATTGTTGGATGTGCCTTTGAATGTTTTCTGTATTTTGCATGTCATTGTTCTGTTGCCTACTTCAGTTTGCAGCATGTATTTTTAAAACTTGTATTCTGTTATATACACTTTTAAAAACTGGTTTTGCTGTCAACAACAAAATTACTTGTATCAGTTATTTAAAAGCTGCTCCCTGAATTCTCTTGGAAAGAGTAAGTTGCAAGACACCAAGGGAATGAAGAATAATTTCATAGGGAAAATTAGTCTGCATTTGTCAAAAAAGACAGTGACAGCTTCAGTAGGACATGAGTGGTTTTCTTACAGGCTTCTGCAAAACCGATGTTCCAACAAGACATCTTAGGCTTCTGCAAAACCGATGTTCCAACAAAACATCTTAATACTGCATGGCTATATTGCACTAGGATTACAGAGAAACAATTGGAAGTGACCTCAAGCAGGGATCTCTGTGTCATGACTTAGTCACTGTCTACAACCTCTGGACTTAAAGCTGTGTTATTTCTGGAGTTCATAAAACCTTGTTTGTTGCAGTTGGAATTCATTAAACTGTGTTTGGTTTTATCACAAAACCTGCAATAATAATTGCATCAGAGCCTGGAGAGAAGGATAAAGCTATAGACTGAACTTGTAATAGTTCAAAGAGGAGATTTGCTTATACTGCATTTTGGACTCAGTATGGGTAGTCCTTTCTGTGTAACAGTGGGAGTCAACATTCCTTTGGAGTCTCCCATTGCCTATACAAAGCAATATGGTGAGCATATTCTCATGCCTTGTGCATAGAAAGAAGGTACCTGTGGCTGTGTCTTGGTAGTGTAAAACTGTAGAAAAATTTAAATCAGAGAGACCTCTGGAGGTACTCTAGTCTACAGCCTTCCTCATAGAGGAATAACTTCAGAGTTGGATCAGGGTGTGCAAGGACTTGCCCAGATGAGTTTTGACTATCTCCACTAGCAACAGGCCATAGGAACAGTAGATTTGAGACCTTAGCCTAGCTTTGTCTTCTGTGGTCAGATTTTTTCTTTCATGGTAAATAAGAATAAAACATCCCTGCAGACTCTTAAGTGGTCTGAGATATTATTGGGAGATTACATCCCTTGGAAAATGTGGTAGACTATTTATTGAATATGGGAATGATGCCAAGAGAGAATACAGTAAACATACACTCCCTGGATTGAGGGAATATGACTCTACATTAGGCAACGCCTTCCCATGCTCCGTCTTGGCACAGAAGAACAGTTAGCTGCAGTTACTCTTCAGGTGAACCATAACAGGTCCCTGCACTGAAGACTTGAAAAGGACATGATGAAGGTCAATTTGTACTTCACCAGACATATATTTTTGGGATTGGTATGGTGCTCTGGTTCTTTGTTTAATTTGGCAGTGATATCCGTGGTTTTGCTTTCCATTATTTGCTCACTGCTAGTGAGAGGGGAACTGATGCCTAACTTCATGTTCCTGGGTATGTTCCTCAGCATTAAAACAGCAACAAATTATTTACTAGTATTGAGGATAGCCTCTCTGTCTGCAAAACACTCATGTGACTTTTTGCCTTTCTTTGTGAATACTTTGCATTTCAGAACTCTGAAAGTTAGGGAGAGGTAACTGGAGTCACTGGCAGAATGTCTGTAGATGTGCCTCTTTATGTAGAAAGAACTGAGGAGGACATCTTAGCACAAAAAAGTTTTTTTGCATGTCTGTCTCCTCTCCTTCCCTTCCCTGAGACATGGCTGTGTATTAAGTTTCTGCAGCTCAATGAGAGAGAAGACAGATCACTTGAAAGTGAGTGCCAGAAGCAGCTCAAAGACAGTAACAGTAGTGAATAACATTTCTCATTGAGTATTTAGGTCCTTGAAAGTGAGTGCCAGAAGCAGCTCAGAGACAGTAACAGTAGTGAATAACCATTTCTCATTGAGTACTTAGATTTGCACAATGACATGATTGCTCTTTTCACTCACCTTAACAGATTTTTCAAAGACTGATCTATGCTGATAAACAAGAAGTTCAAGGAGATGGACCATTTTTGGATGGAATTAATGTCACTATCAGAAGAAATTATATTTATGAAGATGCTTATGATAAACTTTCTCCTGAGAATGGTAGGTTTACAATTAAGTTATCAGCGTGTTCGTAACACTTAACTGTTCTTACCATGTAGTTACATATTTGCTTACTTGACTAGTATGTTATAGGTACATCAGCTCTGAGGTGGGAACATTCCTAAAAAGTTAAATTTCCTCAATTTTACGTAAGTAATTCTCACCCACATTCTTTCTGGTTATTGCAGTCTCATTCTCTTTAACAGAGCCTTCCTTAGTTCCAACCTACTTTTATGGGGCTTTTCTTCCCATTTACTTGTCCAAATAACTGTACTTTGTGCATTTGTGTATTCATTAGATAATATCTACTTTGGTAATCTCTGCCAACAAATATATCTGGACTGAACAGGATTTGCTAGGTACAATGTGGCTGATAAGGATAGTGCAGGGCACTATGTAGTGCTATAAATTTTACTACATTAAATTAAATCATACTGTAGTGTGAATTTGTATGAGAGTGGCTACTCTAGAAGCCAAAATTTCTGTGTACATAAAGCCTGCCAGAATTACGTTATATGGAATTTTTGCATATAAAAAGAGTATTTGTCAAAATACTTGAGGTTTGCCATGTGTCTCTCACTTGTGCCACATATGTTCCCTCCTGGAGAGCTGCCTAGCTAGAGAGGTGGGAGGAGTGTAGGTATTTTTGGTTTCTATAAAATTACTGGAGATCATACATTTTCTTAATTTCCTTTATTGTGGTAGAATTAAAGGTCCCTTTTGATTTACAGATAGGATTTTGTATTTCAATGCCCGTGTTTTGTTTGTGACTACCTAAAAATGATGCATTTAGACTAATTATTTTATTATATTTTAAATCAAATACAAATTAAGTTCTATTTCTTGGAAAGTTTTAAAGCCTTATGTAAAGAGACATCACTATAACTGTCTTGAAATGCTATGTGCAATTGGCTGCTTAGCCCTTCCCTGGTGGTTGTGAATAGTTTTGTCATCCTGAGTTCAGTGTGAGGTTTCTTAGAAAGATGAAATGGAATTGGAAAACAGCACTGTACTCAGCACTGGTGAGGTCACACCTCAAATCTTGTGTAGTTCTGGGCCCCTCATGACAAGAAAGGCATTGAGATGCTGCAGTGAGTCCAAAGGGCAGCTGGTGAGGTCACACCTCAAATCTTGTGTAGTTCTGGGCCCCTCATGACAAGAAAGGCATTGAGATGCTGCAGTGAGTCCAAAGGGCAGTGGAGCTAGTGAAGGGTCTGGAGCACAAGTCCTCTGAGGAGTGATGAGGAGGCTGGGGGTGTTTAGCCTGGAGAAAAGGAGACTCAGGGGAGACCTTATTACTCCATACAACTACCTGAAAGCAGATTGTATTGAGGTGAGGATTGGTCCCTTCTCCCAGGTAACAAGTGACAGGATGAGAGGGAATGACAGGAAGTTATGCCAGGGGAGGTTTAGATTGAATATTAAGAATTATTTTTTTTCACTAAAGAAGTTGTATATCCAGAGGTTGAATAGGCTGTCTAGTGAAGTGATGGAGTCACCATCTCTGGAAGTGTTCAGAAAACATGAGGATGTAACACTTAAAAACATAGTTTAATGGTGATTGTGGTGGTAGGTTGATGGTTGGACTCAATGATCTTAAAGGTCTTTTCCAACCTTAATGATTCTATGATTCTATATATGCAGTGCTACCTAGTACTGCACTCACACAGAGCTAGAGCTGATTAGAATCAGTGCAGTGCTTATTGATTCAGACAGGAGAAAGCTGAAAATTGTACTCACAGTATCTTACATAAATAGAATTTTCAAATTGTTTTGGGGCTTCTTTTGAAAATTTTCTATGATTTTTTTCTCTCCCCCCACCTAGTGCCATTCCATTCCTTCTTTTGATGACTCATAAAACAAGACTCACTTTCCTGTGAGCTTCACAAACTGAATATTCCAAAATTCAAGACTGTATTAGACTTTTGCTGCTATTTACTAATTCAGTTTTTGGTATAACATTAGGTGTATGTGTAGCTGCATGTGTTTTTATCCAAACAAAATGGAAGCAGATGGTGGCATTTGAGTTTGTCTCTTCTTTCTCTGCAGAACCTGACCTAAAAAAGCGAATTCGTGTTCACTTACTTAATGCTCATGGCCTGGATGAAGCTGGTATTGATGGTGGTGGAATTTTCAGAGAATTTCTGAATGAACTACTTAAATCAGGATTTAACCCTAACCAGGGATTTTTTAAGACCACCAATGAGGGGCTTCTTTACCCTAACCCTGCTGCACAGATGCTCGTTGGAGACTCCTATGCTCGACATTACTACTTTCTTGGAAGAATGCTTGGAAAGGTAAAAACTGTTGTATAATATAAAGCTATAGCAGTACTGTAATTACTCAGTTGTGGTTTTTTCTATTTAAATATGGGTAGATGGGAAAAAATAATTATTTTTCTAGACTTGTGGAAAAATAACTTTCCTATGTGTGCTGGTTTTAACCGGGATGGAGTTCATTTTCTCAGTAGCTAGTGTAGTGCAGTGTTTGGATTCAGAGTGAGAATACTGTTGATAGCAGTGATGTTTTGGTTTCTGCTGTTATGTTTATCCTAAATCAAGGACATTTTCTTTCTTGTGTCTCATGCTCTGCCGGTGAGAAGATACACAAGAAACTGGGAGGGAGCATAGCTGGGACAGGTGACCTGAACTAGCCAAAGGGATATTCCAGCCCATGGCACCTCATGCCCAGTCTATCAGCAGAAGGGCTGATCCAGGGGGAGGGATGGGGTTGTGTCAGTCCACAGGTGCTGAGCAATTGGATTGTGCATCACTGGTTTTGTTCTTTTTATTATCCATTAGCATTTTAGCTCATTCTGCTCTTTATTATTATTAAACTGTTCTTATCTCAACCTACGTATTTTACTTTATTTTTTCTCCTCCCCATTCCTCTGGGTTGGGAGGGAAGAGAGGGGAGGAGAGAGTGTGAGTGGCTGAGTGGTTCTTGGCTGCTGGCTGAGGTTAAACCATGACACTGTGTTAGGTCTGAACATTATTTCTACCTATCACATAAATTTCTGATTTATTTTAGTAAGTTGTATACTTCAGAAGTACAGAGAATTTGTGATACCCTGACTGCCAGTTGGGCAAAGTGTGCTTATATTTGCTTCTATGGATATCCTCTTCCTTAAAGTTCAGTTGATTGAAGCCAGTGGACCTGTTCTGCTTATGGTGATTTCTAACCTGAAGCTTTTTGGAATATGACTGCAGTTGCATTTTCATCCTTTGGAATATATGAAATTAATATTTTAAACAGTTTCTAGTTGTATGAGGTATACAGTTCTTGCTAGCATTTAAAATTTGCCATCAGCATTTTCTATACTTAAGAGCCACATGCAAATTAATTTTTACATATTCTATTTGATGTTTTGTACATTTTGAATGTTTCTTGAGTTTTACTCTTGATATTTTGGTGATGTGAATGTTCAAAGACTAATAGATGCTTATTGAGATAGTTGAAAAATGAAGGGGGAAAAAAAACAGAAACCATTACAAACATTAATTACATTCAATTTCCTTTTATGATCAGGTTTAGTACTGAGGCTAATTTTTAAGCCCTTGAAATAATTTTTGCTAAGCTAATAATTGTGACACAAAGTTTGGAATACAAATTGCATTTCAGAGAAAAAAAATTTATTGATTGCTGCTTAGGTATCTTAAAACTGTAGGTACTTAAGATGTAAAAGTCCTGTTTAGCTGCCTGAATTATCTGGAGGCCAAAATCCTGCTGACTCGGAATGAGATTTAGCATGCAGTTGGATGTTTTGTAGTGTAGCTGGAAGCAGTTTAAGAGGATGTTGTTGGCAGACTTGAGTTGTTCAAACAGTGCCGTTCTTGAGAGTTGCCAGTCAACTGATTTAGATTAAACTGCCACTTGGTAAGCAAATTCTCTGCTAATGCTTCCTGGCTATTGTCAGATTCAAACTTGTTAAATAATCATCGAATCATAGAATCAGCTGGGT